GGCTTCCTTTATGAACGGAAGTTTTTGCCTTTCGGCTCTGTTGCCGCCGCTCCTGTCGACTCGCTGTGCTTACTTCCTGTTGATTGTATTGTTTATGATGGCTCATAGAGCTCGGCTTTAGAGTCACATGATTCATGGATAGTTCGTAGTCCCATCCATACACATTGTTCTCATAACTGTCATTTGCCTGTGGCGCCATTGATGTGGCATTTGGCTCGTGGCAGCTGCTGCCGGCTGCACACAAAATTATTTTTAAAGACTTTGGCGCTTTCTCTTTAATTGGACAGTCGGCGTCGCAGTTATAATGTTAAATATTATGGTAATTATGTTGGCATTAAGCAGACATTAACACGTATACGCCATGTTGCCAGCATTAACATGTATACGTCCCGTTGCCAGTGGAAGAGTTGGCAAATTCCAGGCGCCACATTCTCTAGCCACTCGCTCCATTCTGCTGGCAAACCCTCCTTTGAACTCTGATTTCATGCAAAATGTTAACAAAATTGTTGGCCTTGGCTTCTTAGCTCTTTCCCCACCACTCCAATACCCAGCAAATATAAAAAGGCGCGGCGGAGTTTGATTAATGTGTCCAAGTCTAGGTAACAGATGCTAAATGAATTTCTCTATGAATATATATGAATAACAGCATGAGCATTGCCTTGGCCTTATTGCAGGGTATCTAGTTATGGGTTTATTCGTTTTTTTGAATGAACTTTTCAGTGAACTTTTCTGTGGTGCTCGTTGGGTTATTTCTGTGTGGTTTCTCTAACCGACATTTAGTGGCTTTTGCGCTCTTTTGGGTTCTTTGGCATTTTGCGCCCAATTATTTCAATTTGTTAAATTGTTAAGCCAAACTCGTGCAATTGGGCAAACTACATAGTTGTTTAGGTATTAGAATTTAATTAAAAAGGTGCAAATACCAGGTAAATGGATTATCAAATGATGAGATTTGCTGTGCTTTACGAAGTGACAGATGAGTCGAATTGTATTAATTATAGATCTATCTATTGCGTGGAGTTAATAGTCATCTGTAAGCTGGAACTTATCTTCAATAGCGCCCAAATGCTCTATGCTTTTACAACTTCATGAACGAGTATCCCTCTTATTAACTAACAGCTAAAACCGATCTCTATATCTATACACAAAACACACTTGAAACAAAGTTAAATCAAAACTTTTATCAAACTAAAAACTAGATAAAAACTAAATAAAAAGCGAGATAAATATGTGAAACAAAGTTTTGACAGCAATGCGGATAAAATGTGTTAAAAATCGAATCAAAAGCTAAAGTGAAAAACGCCGAAAAGCTTTTCAGAACGATTTCCCAACTCAGAGGCACACATGTGCGTAACTTCTGTGATTGTGGCGGCAAGGCGTGGCTAAGCGAATGGCAACATTATAATAAGCCGTGAAATAAAATGCAAATTTTGCACATCTCAATTGTGCGACAACAATTGCAACACATGCAGCAACAGCAAGTCGCACAGGAGTAGCAGGAGCAGAGGCAAATAGAACATGAAAATTGTGAAACTAACTTTTGCTCAACGCCTGCAGGATGCGAGCGAAGAGTTAACAATTTGGCCAACTGGCGGGCGGGCGATTGCCTTTTTTTTTTGTTGTTTTTTATTAACAATTAAAAGTGCAAATTTTATTTGCCAAAGTCGCAGCGGAATAAATTTTGAAACTACAAATTTAACAAGCAAAACAGCTTGATATAATAAATAAATAACAAATGATAAAATATAAATAAATATATAGAAAATATATAAATAAATTAAATAACAAATAATAAACAATAAAATAAAAAATATATATTATAAATAGTTTATAAAAAATGCAATTATTTAATACAAAAATATTAATAATTTAAAATCAACAATGAGGGTGTATCTTAGTGGGCAATGCTCGCATAGGAAATAAACTGTATACCTGGTGCAAACAGGCCTGATAGATTTCAGCTTGACATGTCATTGTCATTGTCAACATCATGAACATCATGTCAATATCATTAACATAGCTTCTAATTTCTGGATAAGATCAGATGCCGAGTCGAGCTTGTCCTATCTATACGCCTTTTCATAAGCAAAAAGGCGTCGAGTCTTGAGCTCTATTAGACTTTTAATTGTACTCTGAGTGTCAACTATATTACACTCCGTGCAAGTTGCTATCAAATTATCGATAACATTTGCCATTTTCGATCATAATCGATAGACTTTAGTTATTTATGCGCAAGTTTTTTGAGCATTTCTCGCACATTTTTAAAGCTTAAGTCAACAAATTCGAAAAATGTCAAGGGAAATTATAAATAGCTTTGATGATGCATAACTCAGAGCGTAATATAATGCGTTTATCATACTATAGTCAGCTTGAAGGCGTGTAAAATGTTTAGCCAATGCCTCGCTTACAAAGTGAACATCCTTTCAAGCTATGCAAATTGTATTAAAACACTGAGCAGAAGATGCTGGAGCAGTTTATTGTTTCCACGCTGCTTTAGCGCGTCTCAGTGTTAATTAGTGTCGACACGTAGTCCCCGACTCCAGGCCCTGTAATAATGCGCATTATATAGCGACGATGATGATATTATTACAGAGAGTGTAATGCGCTTAAATGCAGGGCAGGCCGGTGTTCACGTAGCTGGGAGCTGCTGTTCCGTTCGCTGTAAGACCGGTTGATAAATATCCTTAGCTCCGAGCATTATAAATTCATGTGGCACAAAGCGTTTGCTGCATTTATTTTGCATGTCGCAAATGCCAAAAAAAGGACAAACAGAAAAACAAAAGCCCAAACGGCTCGCAAAGGCGACAGGCAACAGCACAATGCGACCGCCCCCACCCGCACCTCACGCCCATTGGCAAACGCCTATGCAGTGCCACAGAAAGCACTTGCCACGCCTCCTTGTATGCTGCTACTGCTGTTGTTTTTGCATTGTGTTTACTAAAATAAACAAACAAAAGGGGGAAGTAAAGCCGAAGCCGTAGCCGAAGCTGCTGCTGAACGGACAGTTGAGCGTCCAAATGGAGCCCAGCACGTCGCACGTAGCACGTCGCACGGCGTTGCACAGGGCGTATGCGTGTTGTGGCAGCTGCAACATGCAACGTGCCTGCAACGAGGACAACATTGCAGACCAAAGCCCAGAATGTAGGTTAGATTGCAACCGGTTTAACCGAGTCGCTCTCTCATTCATAATGAGCCGCACTTGATGCGAGCCACATTTGAGCCCAGGGGCCAGGGCATAAATTAATTGGTTACTTCACACACACAAAAACACACAAAGACCAAGACACACTCACACACAAAGCAAATGAGAACAGGGACAAGGTGGCAAATAGTGCCATAAAGAAAGATATTTAAAGCAGCCAAATAGAGAAACTAGCACAAGCTGCGCCTCACACGAGGAGTTCTCTTTGTAAAGAAATGGATTTTATTGCACATAGATTGTAACTCTGTTTCAATATTTTTTTTATAAATATTATGAATATATTTCTATGCGAAAAGTGTTTGGGAATGTTGCGAATGTTTCGATTTGATTTTTGCCTGCTCCAAAAAAAGGAATAGCTGAATAAGAAAACAAAAAAGGATGGGAGCTTAGCACAAATGTATAATATATAAAGGAGATTACTTTGAAGGCAATAAAATAAATATTTATGAGTAGAAAATTTAAGAAACTAAACCAAATTTGGCTATACTTTTTGAATAGATCTCCTATTATTTTTTATGCCTGAATTGTGAGGGTTAAACAGATAAACATATTTATAAAATTGTATAAAGATAACATTATTATATATATAATTTGACAACAATTTCAATTTCAAATAAATAAAAACCTTTTTTTTAATTTAAGAATTTTTATCCAAACTTAAGTTTTTATCTGTCAAATAAATGCCTGCTGAAATTGATTTTTAAGCAAATATATTTTGTATTCATAGCTCCCTTTCGTGGCTTACAAAGTTCAAAGATTTGAAGCAAGCAAAATACGCTAAAATTAATTGGATAGGTCAAGCATCTCTCATCGTCAGGTTGATTCAACTGCGCTGTTTCTAGCTGCTGCGATAAGAAAATATTGCAAGCTATGAAAATTCCCATTGACAACCATCTCCGAAGTGGAAATATAAATTCCCAGTCAGCTACACCTACACAATTGTAATAATATATATATACATATATTGCTGATAGATTGATATATATGTAATATATTTACTCATTTAATGTAATGCAATGAAAAATCCCAATAAGTGCTTGCAACAGTGTAGATCAGCGAATATTTAATGCTCTCTTCTATGGAGTTAAATATACTTAAGTAAATTCCACGTGACTAATTATCAAGTAATTAACCTACATAGAAACTGATCGCAACTAAATGCTTGGATATGAATTTAAAAAAAAAAAATTAGAAAAATATAGTGGGATTTGATATAAAGATAACAGCAGTGGATAATAATATAGTATAGATAGAATTTAATTTCATATATATATAATATAATATATAGTATAGATAGCTCATCTTAAATCAATTTATCTGCAAATAACTTTTGTTTTATTTTATATTTAAAGGAAGTCTTCTAAAAATAATATAATAAAAGCATTTTATATTAACAATTTTAGTAGTCTTAGCTATCTTAACTAGTCTCTTGCTTTTTTTGTTTCTCAATCACATCAAACTCTGCTGCTCATATATTTACAATTGCCAATAAATTTAATATTCCTATTTGTTTTTATTTATTATTTCTATAGAGTTTTTGTTTACTTTTTTTTAACTTATTGAAGTGCTCCAAACTATATGAAACTGTCCATAGTAAGTGTATACAAAAAGTGGCCAAGGTAACCAGACAGACGCTTCGGCGATAAGGCATTCATATATATATATATATACTATATATACACAAGTAATACATACATATATATATAGCATGCATATATATACTTATACTATCTACTGTTTCTTATAGATTGCAAACAAATGCGCTGTTAGCAATTTGCATATAAAAATGAAAACTTTAGACCGCTCGCGCTGCAGTTGAAATCAACCGGGAAACTTGACCAGAATGAAGATTAAAGTGGAATTATTTTTAATACTCGCTACGATTGCACTGGCCAGTGGTAAGTTCTATAGAGTATTGAGAGTATGTTATGTTAAAATTAATATGGAATTTGAATAGGCTTCCGCATGCCCGACTGTCCGCATTGGAGTAAATGCTGGAAGGATTACAAAGCTGGACGAGTTATTTACTAAATGTCAAATTGTAAAACTCTAAAATTCTGTATTTAAATATTTAACAATGTGTGCGTGTGTGTGTCTAGCTGTATATTTAGTGCCTAGCAATGTCAACATGATCAAAACTCTGTACAAATAGTAAATAAACAGTTTATTAATCGAAATGCGAAATCGAAATGAATGCAGCCAAACGAGTCATTTAAATCGTTTTCCATTAGGCTTATGTGCTTAATTAAGCGTTAAGGCTATTAGAGCGAAACTTTTGAGGACCAAATAACAATTCGCAATGAATACCCAATGAAATAAAGCTTAATGCAAAATAAATATATATATATATATATATATATATGTATGTGTGTATATGTATTTGGCTATATATGTTACCACTAATTGAACCCACATATATACACACACATATATAGACAGCTACTGCGTAATCCTCTAGCAGCGCTTTTCACATCATTCGAACACGCAATGCAAAAATACAAAAAATCTAGATTGGGGTTGACGGGCTTACCAAAAGATTTTCTACCCCCCATTTTGTCAGAGTTGGCTATAAGTCGCACGAACATGCATAGACATTGATTTGCTATAATTGAGAATTTGCAATTGTCAAATAAATGCTCTTGAGAGCATTGCGACTCAAGAAATCTATAATTGAAATGTATTTTCTTTCGGGTATTTGCATTGGAAGACTTGATTATATTTTAGAATTTAAGTATTCAATATTTTTATAGTTCAAATAGCAAAGATTTCTCTGATATAATCTTAACTACGATAGACATATACAAATGAATTACCCCAAACATACCTGAGTAGTAACATTCTCTTATACCATCTCTAAAATCATCTTAGCTCTAAAATTAGTTATATATTTATATACATTAATATACGATAAAGTATAATAATGATATACATATTCGCAGAAGCGTAACATGGCCATTCCTTAAGCCTCACTTCTGTACTAATCTAACCGCATTCCAAGCTCTGCTTTGGCTTTATCTGCAAATACATAGTTACGCCTCCGTCCGCTAGATAGCGCCACTCGCACAAAACACACGCACACGTGTCACAATTTTCCGGCGTATTCCCATTATGGGGGAGGTTGAACTGAATTTTAAAATGCAATGTATATTCACAACTGCTATGATTGACATGGGCTTGACGCATTATTGGTTGAGCTGTATGTGTGTGTGTCTGGGGAAAAGTTGAGCTGCGAAAGAAGTATATTCATACTCTGACATTAAGGTAAATATACACATACATATTAAGTTAATGGCCAGGTGTGAATGCCTTGTCATTAAGTACGCAAAAACGTCGTACATAAGTTATGTATACGGCTAAGACTTGGGCAAATGAATAATAGATAGCTACGCTTATTGATTTTCAGATTACACTGTGCAAAAATGCACTAAATAGGACAAGGTATCAATTATAAATGTTTTAAATAAATATATTCATATGTGAGTAGATTGGATCAATAAATAACTGAATAGCTACACTGTAACAAAAAATAAGCTACATTTAGCTATACTAACGAAAAGCTTGACATAAAATAAGAACTCATTCAAATTGCCAAACTTTTTCTCAGTGTATTTAACCTGCTTTAAAGATAAGCGGCGTGAAAGACAACTTATATAAACCTCAGCGAGCAGACAACCTTGCCAGCCACCCAAAATGGCCGCACACGTAAAAACTCTGGACGTCAGAAAAACATTTTAAGTAGATGTCATTACGCGTTTGCCTCGCCGCCAAATGACTTTGAGAACAACATAAATCCATTAACAACAGCGCATTAAACGTGATTTCCTTCCGAATCGACTAAGTCTGGCAACGCTCTGCCTTTGTTTGCCTAACTATTTAAACAATAGAAACGACTTTTGAACTCTTGACTCAGGTGCGCTAACTTTGGCTATTACAGCTGCCTGAATATTTCTTTCTTTGTTGTCTTATCGATTTTCTTGGCTTGCAACGTTTTCGATTTTTCATATTTTTTCTCGCCATTTTCTATTGTCTTTCTAAGAAGTTGTTTTGCAGACATAACGGATATTGCTAAGCTATTTTATCGCTGTTAAACAGTTAGCTTAAAGCTAGCTTGATCATTGATCAACACTTGCTGATTTCTTTGAGGACTCAGTTATCGATTAATGTTGTTGACTCACCTCGATAACACTATCACTGCCCAGTCCGCAGATCTTGTTCTTGTTGCTGAACGGCCGCTGCTCCAATTGCTGCTGCTTGCGCTGTTTGCGCTGCTTACGTGTGGCTAGACGCAGTCCGCCGCCGCCACCACCGCCGCCCTTGCCGTCGCCGCCGCCCAATACTTGCGCTGCAATGACAATTTCGTCTTCGTCGTCGTCGTCGTCGTCAACGCCGGCGTCGACGTCGTCGTCGTCGTCGTCGTCGTTTAGTACTAAACCAGCAGGTGGCGTGCCACTCAAATTAAACTCATCGACATCGATATCGGCCGCTGTGTCCGGCAGCAAATCTAAGTCACTTTGAAAGCTCAGATCCAAATCTTGGGGCAATTTTGCATACTTTTGATTATTTTTCATTGTTGCTGTTTATTTGTATGGGCTGCGTTGCATGAGTCATGCCATGTGCAGTAAGGGTCCTAGGAGAAAGGACACTGTTATCGGGTTATCGTCTTGATTTGTTATTGTTGCAATTCGCGCGTTGCTTTATGTTATTATTTTACAAGCGCACACCCACCCAGTCACACGTACACTCACACACATTCACACACACACATACACACGTTTGCCAACGTGAACATGAACCAAAACAAAAATGAGCACAATCGATTTTTCCGTCTCGTCGCTGCGTTCTCTTTGTTTTTGGCCCACTACGAGCGGTAACAACAACAACAACAACAGGTTCTTGTTTTAGCTGCACTTCATTGCAACAAATTGGGCGCAACTCGTTGACTACACAACACAATCGTCCTGCTGCTCGTCGGAGAAGCCGTGGCGGCACCCTTACACGTCTCTTACTACGTAATAAACACAAACAAACAAACGCTCGCACACACACGCACATGCATACTCATCAAATTGCAATTGCATTTTACAATGTCAAACACGCACGCACACACACACACATACACACACACTGATACAGGCAAGCAGTCAAGCAACTACGCGATTGAAATTCAATTTAATACACTTTAGTACTTGGTTCAGTTTCCAATTAGATAGTTGTTTGCGCTTTTCCGACTTCAATTTGCATTTACTTTTTACCGTCAAGACGTCTGCACGCCACAAAATCGCGTCGCGTATAAAGCACAGCGCCAATGCCGATGCCGACGCCGCTATCCCCCTAAGTCAGACACTGTGTGCGATTTCGTTTGTGTGCGTGTATAAATGGCGTAGGGGCTGTATTTGGGGTAATATGTTATCGAGTCAAATTTTATCACATCTGGCAGCACTGTTTATCGTAATTGATACTTGCAGCAGGCAGCTTTTGTCATGGAGCGCGCCAAAAGGAAAGCGCGGCCTAACGCTATTTCAAATTTCAAATCGAACGAGCTAACACTACGTTCATGAATATAAACATTAGAAGACACATTATAAGTTGTATTATGAGAATGGTTTTTGATCAGTTGATTTATTCAAAGCAGTGTTTTTTTTTTAATCGAATATGTTGGATTTTGTTTTGTCGATTTAGTCCCTTTATAGTTAATATCATAGAGATATCCATACACATACCGTTATATATATTTTTTTTGTATTTTTGTTTTCTTCTGCATCATATAAGTTTTTATGCTTATATATTGTATATATATATTATATATATGTATTTTTGTAGTTTCCTTGAATAAAAATTAAATCTTAAAAAGGATAAGCATCATTGTAGCTACCACAAGGTGTACTTTTTGTTGTTGTTGTTGCCGTTTCTCTTATAAGTATATAGAAAACATTTGTTCGTTTGAATTATGCTGCATAGCTAATAATTGTTAATAAATGTTGAAGCTTCAAGACAATAGCGTCGTCGAATGAATCGAATATTTAAAACTGATTTAATTTAGCTATAAAATTGTGTAAATATATAAATATAAATACTGTTCACTTATAAAATAACACGCATACACGTAAGTTTGTCAAATGTTCCAAATAAATTATCGACATATTTATATATATCTGTATATATAATATGACATATAAATATGATTTTTCTCTTCCAATATTACATGAATTTAACTTAAATATAAAATATAAATAAGTTGCGGCAATTAAATGCTTTAAGTACATACATTCATTTCGTTTCGCTTCGCTTTATGTTCTATTTTAATGTTTGCTTAGTTCAATTAATTAATAATTAATTACTGGCAACATTCTGGAGATGCTTTGCGTTTCATAAAAAGTATTTGCTTTTGTGGCGCATACGCCGCTGATGTAATGTGGGGGAAATGGAAATGAAATCAATTTGTGTGTTGCAAAAGAGAGAAATGTTAACGTTAAGTAGTTTGTAGTCAGTTAATTGTGTGAAATAGGCTAACAGATGTTTAGATTGGTAGCTTCATTATAGTGCTATAAAGTCAAATGACTTTAAAAGTCATTTGCCAGCTTAAAAGGGGAAGCAGCGCATGCGTCCTGTCTGAACTAATTGCTGAGCTTAGCCTAAACAATTCTCAACTTCCTCGTCTTAAAATTTATAATCGACTTATGTAAAAATTAAGTTTACAAAAAAAAATAAACATGGCAAGCGCTTAAGCGTAACTTAAATTAAGTCTGTGTATACTAAATAGCTAAGAGTCAACTATTGCTGATGTTGTTGTTGTTGTTCCTGCAATTGTTGCATCAATTGTTGCTTCGTTTCGGCTTTCACAGTTTTATAGCGATCCTTCTCTTCAGTATTCTCGGGCGGCTCACACTCAAAGGATGCAATCGCAAGCGTATTCTCATTGAGCACCGCATTATGCTGCAGGTAGGCAATTACATTCGGCAATTTCTCAAACGGACAGGTGACTTTCTTCCATTCATTGAACTCCATCACTTGTTTGGCGAGTTGTGAGCATTTCTCAAAGTTGATATGATTGTTTGGCAAACTGCAAAAGCGAAACGGAAATTAAATTAGAAAGTCGATTTCCCACATTTTCTAGCCGAGTGCAATTACCGATTCGAGCAGCCTTCGTTCAAAAAGTATAAATCCTTAACAAATAAACTAAAAAATGGAATGATTATGCGTTCGCGTTCCTCTGTGGCGCCCTCGGAGCGCCACATTGCAGCTTTAAGCGTCGAGCGATAACTGTTGAAATTCGATGTTGGATCCATTTGATGTTCCAGCACAGAGAACTTAGCCGATTGCACTTTAGACCACTGCAAATAGAACCTCAGTTAGACAAAATGTTGAATTTTGTTTCGTAATTTTAGGATAACTTGCCGTCTTTTTAAGTCTACCAATAGGCGCGAGATTGAGACCAGCTATAATGGCCATCAGGCTATTGAAGTTGCCAATGTTGAAACATTCGCGAGCTGTCTCAATCCAATACTCGATAATACGCACGCGCTGCTTCTTCTTCGGATACTGTGAAAGTAAAAGAATAAACTTTTAATGTATGTTTTAACTTAATGTTAATGAAAATCGCATAGAAACGCTTTTTTAATCAAATAATATGCTCTGTTCCTACTTCGTATTTTTGACAATTCCAATATCTTAGTTTTCCACGAAGAAAACTCTATTGATTTTAACATATTTCTTTTTTTTAGCCTTTTTGCAATCGAATTTCATTTTTATGGCTTTGCGCTGGGCAAACATATTTTCATACGTTTATGGCCAAGCATCAGTTTCATTTCCATTTTCATCCCCGCCAGCCCATCCAATCATTTTAAGCACTCGCTAATCCCCCCACATCCAGTCCACTCCACCCACCTTAACAATTTCGCTGGCCGTCAAATAGCTGAGACGATTGAACCACTGAACATACGATTCCAAATTGCGTGTCTTTTTCATATCATTCAAGGAGGAGCTGCCCGCAGTCGGATCAACTGACGCTGTGATTGTGCTGCCCGCGCCCTTGGCTTGCTGCTGATAATCCTTGGCAAAGGCCTGCACAAACTCCTCGGGTCCAATGTGCGACAGACGCTCCAATTCGATGGCCGTTAGCTGATGCGCCAAATGCTCGCAGCTGGGACACATGTCCATAATGCCAAAGACCTCGTCTGGCTGCGGCGTGCTCGAGGCGGAGTTGCTGCCGCTGTTTGTCGAGTTGCCGCTGCTGCTTGCCGAGCCGCCACCGCTCGTTGGCAGGCCATTCGTTGCATGGCCACTGCCTGATGTATGGGAGCTGCCTAGAAACGTTTGAAACGGATTATGCAAATGATGATGCGGCTGATGCTGATGCTGAATCTGTTGTTGCGATTGCTGCTGTTGATGCTGCGACTGTTGTTCGATGGCCTCTTTGTTGAGCGACTGCAAAAATTTTTCGTACTGTTCCAGATCTTTTAGCCGTGCCACTAGCAGCTGCAATATACGTGACACCTGCTTGCCCAGCGAATTGTCAATGTAAACACATTTCCTGGCCAAGATGCGCACCTGCTGCATCAGTCGCTCATCCCGAAAGTCATACGGAAAGATCTCAATCCATTCGGATAGCAATCGAATGCAATGTTGCGCCGATCGCTGCGTCCAAGTCCGCTGTTGCGGCTTCGGCTCCAGCTCCACCTCCTGCCCAGGTCCAACTGTTGCTGTAGATGCCGCTGATCCTTTGCGCTGTGCCAGCGGCGAGGCAGAGTTCAAGTGCAGCGGCAACGATGGCGGCTGAGCCACAGCCTCATCGACCACGTCGCCAGCTGGCTGCTGTTGTAGCTCCCAGTTGCTGGAGATCTGGGCGAGCAGTTCGTACGGCCGAATAAACAGGCGTCCGCTTAACAGAAATGCAAACAGATAATTATGCTCCGGATAGTAGTCGTGCGTGGGCACCATATGCATGATGAGCGACTGCAGCGTGCCGGCCTGCAGCTTGCCGTCGCAGTAGACCAAGTGTCCCTCCTTCGGTTCCTTGCTGAGGACCAGAGGCTTGTTCTGCTGCGGCGGTCCATAGCTGAGCGGTCGCTCCGGCAGCTGCGACTTCTCCACATGCGAACTATCTCGTCGATGCGTGGCCAAGGTTTTGGCCACAATGCCAATGCCGCTGCCGGCGCTGCTGTTGCTCCGCTGTGTCTTCAGATCCGGCAAAGTCTTGTGTGTCGTTGTCGTTGTTGTTGCTGTGGCGATTGTAGCTCCCGTTTTGGCCTTGAGATTAAGATTTATGTTGGCGCTGCCAGTGCTGCCACTGCGGCCATTTGTGGCACTATTGATGCCGCCGTTGCTCGACGACGACATTTGAATCCCGACTCTGTCCACTACTCCAGCTGCTGCTGCTGTTGCTGCTGCTGCTGCTGCTTCTACTGCTGACTGCCAGGCGACTCTCCTATGCAAGCGCCGCCTTTGCGGGCAGCGTCAAAAGCTGTAAAAATAGAGAATACAGAATTAGCTAAAATTCCAATAAAAAAAGGGGCATTGTGTAGGAATCCTTAGAAAGGAATAGAAAACAAAATGGCAGCAAATTGGAATTCGAATTGGCAGTTGGCAAATGGCAAATGGCAAATGACAAACGAATGCCTGAACATTTAATCGTCCTTAGCAATTAGCCAACTGTCAAAGTGAAAGGCACGACCAGGTGCAAAAGGTGTGGAATGTAATTTTAACCCTTTGCACTAATCCTTTTTTCTACCCTTCATTTTCTTAAAGCTCAATGAAGTTTTCAATGAATTTAAGCAGCTCAAGGAATCAACTGACGTTACAAGATGTTTCTTATAATTCAAAGCTCAGGTGTGTTTTTACCTTTTGCTAAAACAGGGCTACATAAGCTATTTTAATATGTTTATATAAATCAATGAGATATCAAAAAGATTTCACTGTTTTTATAGGTAAATCAAAGCTTTTTAAGCGCTATAAAATTTCCCAAAATAACAAAAAACTTCAAGTTCTACCTATGAGAATCGCATAGAAAGCAAACTATACTAAAGTAAGAAAGAGAAAGAGCAATGCCCATTAAAACCGTAAGACAATTTGTAAAGAAGACACCGTCAGAGTTGCATATAAAAACACGTTAAAACGTTAGTGAAAACTGGAAAAGCGTCGCTTGAAAACCGACTCATAGAAAATAGAAAATGAATAAGCAGTAAATAGTGACTGGCTATTGATTGCTGAATGTGACACTTAATCACGTAAGCACAACCCACACAAATACAACAACCAAAAGAAAACAGGCTCAAGTAAGAGACTAAGAAATACACTTTGCAAACATTATATAGTATATATAAGTAATATAAGTGATAATTAATTTGGAGAGTTATGGATTGTAAATTATTTATTTATACCCGACTAAAGGATACCCTTTAAAGAAACAAAAGCCTAAGAGAAAACAATGCTAAATATATATATCAGATAATACATTTGATTAGAAATACATATATAACATATATTAAATTGAACTGTCAATCGTACCTGTTACAAATGCTTACACAAAATTAATATACCTTCCTCTCATACATTTACCATAAAAATAGGGTATTAAACGAAACCACCTTTCCAGCTCCACCCACTCCCCCGCAAATTATGGCGCCCAATCCAAAGAAATGATAATGAAACTATAAAGCTTCATGTAGTATAAACGGTTAATTTCGAGCTGCTTATCAGGGTGAACGAATTAGAAGACAAGGGAAAACACGAGAATTACAAATATTAATTAACAGCAAAATAACCAAAATACTAAAGAAATTATAGCTAAAGTAGGTCAACAACTTGTTCTGAAGGGTTAGGGGCGCGTGTGGGGAACGGATGAAGCTAAATGTTAATTGAATTACCAGCCAAAAGAAGAGACGCCACAAGGTTGGGCCAAAGGTGCAAACAAATATAAGAACCAAGACACCACACCAACCCACCCACTTCACCTCGACACAGTTCAATTTTCACTTTTCTTAGCGTATTGCAAGGGCGAGGGGCAATTATTAACTTGTGGGCCAAAACAGAAATCAATTTCGAACGCGGTAGAAGCAAATTAAAATCTATATTTATAACGTTTACACTATATATGTGTATGCGTATAAAAACAACAAATGAGTGGAATGCACGACGCAGCAGCGAATGCCATAAAAGCTTAAAACAACAACAACTGTAAAAACAAGAACAACAACAGGCAAAGCAAAGCGCACCATAATTTGTATACAAAAGCGGCACAGTGGAAAGGGACGGGCAACGGCAATGACAGACACAGCAGCAGCCGCAGCAGAAGGCGAAGAAGAAATGTAGACAAGTCAATAAATGGGGCCGTGGCCAGGCGGCTGCTGCGGCTGCTGCCAAGTTGAATAGAAGAGAATGAAACAACCCCACAGGAAAAAAATGAAATAAAATAAAACGCACACAGAGTCACGGCTGGATGCATGGATGCATGGATGGAAGGATGAATGGATAGGTACTTCAGTTTAGCCGAGTCCTAATTGGAACTTACCTGCCTGCTGCAGTCGCTGTACCAGCTCCGTTGCATTTTATGAAAAATGCGCTCTTTGATTAATTAAATGTAATTTGGCACACGCACATAAGCACACACACACATGAAGGAGAGCACAAGAGGATGTATTTTGCTGCTCCTGATCACTAATACATTGTCAAATTGATCCGCGCTCTCTTTATCTCCCTTTTACACAAGAGAGTGAGCTTATCATGAAAGCTGCTACTGATCACTAATACAAGTACATTTTCACTAGTAAGTCCTCCGCTCACTGTCTTTCTCGCTCTCCCTGTTTATTGCATCGAAATCAGGACAGCGTGTGCATAGTAGTAGCAAAAGGGGCGCTGCCTAACGAAAGTGGAACACACGATGCTGCTGCAGCGCGGCCGGTCGGTCGGTCGTTTGGTCGGTCGGAGGGGTTAGTTTGTGTGTTTGCAAAAACAATTTACAATACGCGAAAGGTGAACGTTGTATTGCGTTGCGTTGCGTCGCGTCGTTTTAGCTCTCACCACCTTAAGTACGCCTCTGGCGCTGTCACCCCCGCAGCCGCAACGGCAGTCCAAGTCGCAGTCGCATATGGCGGCCGCCTTTTGCGTTTTTCGTTTGGTCAGCGCAAATATATAAATGTGGAAAACAGTCTGTTATTTGTATGTATATATTGTACGTTTTGCGTACGTTTTTACTTTTTGAGTACACGACGTTTTGTAGTTTTGTTTAAAATGCGTCTTTTGCATACGATATTATATTGACGACGTTTTCGTATGTATTTGTATGCATGTGTGTATGTCTGTATGTTGTGCGCCGACCGGTTTGTTTGCTACGCAGAATTTTCTTTTCCACTTTCTTTACGCCGCCCTTGCACTGATTTTGTTATTTGTTGTGTTTTGTTATTAGATTCGTGTTATTTTTTATCCACTCAGCGTTCACTTTTGTATATTATTTACATAAAACATTCACGTTAGCCTTTCGCTTTTTATTACATTAATTATGCATATATTGCGCCAATTAGCAACGTTTATGCCCGAATCGCCGTTCTCCTCGGAAGCAATAGGCAAGGAGTGCAAAGACAAAACAAAAACCACGAGAGCGGTGTGAACGTACACGGGAAACGACAAAATCTATTCAACTCGCTTGAGTACAGGGCTAGTATTTTAATGCACAGCTTGGCCACTCAGAATAAGGCAAAGGCTGCATCAATAGAGATGAGGCAAATAATACATAATTGTAACATTTGTAATTGAACTTATGCAATATGTATTGAATTTAAAAAAATAAGGACCGGTACAAATCATATACACACTATTTTGTAATTTCTTAACTTTTTAAAAATAGTTTACATCTTGCTTTCATTTCTAATACATAAATAATTTGAATCTTGGTTTTCTGTTTTGCGCTCATGTAAAAAAACTACCGATACATTACACTCGAGACATCGATAACAGAAAAGAATGCAGAATATCGTTTGTATCCAGCTCTAAGCAACAAAAACTCTAGTGAAAAGTCGGCAGAGAAATGCAACGCCAAATTAACTAAATTTGCAGCGAAAAACAACACAAATCCATATAAAAAGCACACACAATAGAGCCACAAAAGGAGCACAGTTTACTCAAACAACTGGCAAAAGAATTCAGCGACTAACGGTGGCTGGGAACATTTAAATGGCCAATGGCAATGGGAACAATATCAATACGGACGATGGTGCCGCTGCTGCCAATGCAGCCACAGCAGCACAGGAGCAACAGCACTTGACCGGCGATGGTAACGGTGCCTGCGGCGATGCCAAACTGCCGGCAGGTGCACGCAGCGACAATGTCAACGATCTGGTTGCGGATTTATGGCTAAATGGCAGCGCCGGCAGCACTAGTCGCGGTGATTACACAAATATACGAGCTACAACTGGCTCGGTGGCAACCATGATTGCCACAGCAATGGCCACAGCAACAACGACAGCGCCGCCAATAACGTCAACAGCGAGTTCAACAAACAGCACGAATGCCACCGCCTCTTCCTCCTCCACATCTACATTTTCCTTCAAGCACTTTCTCAACAGCAGCGGCACAATAACTGCTCCAAGCAGCACAGTCACGTCCCTTGATGCGACGGGCAGCTCGAGTGTTTGCAGCAGTAGCAGTAACACAAATCCAAGTTCAAGTGCAACCGCCGCGCTGCAAACGTCAACGGGCGCAAGGCCTAAGGTACCGCAATCTGCATCTGTTAGCCATATGCAGCCGGATTTAAATGGCAGCGCCGCTTCCAAGATGAAGCGTTCGCCACGTTTCAGCTCCTTCGACTCGCAGGCGAGTCTTGCCGAGTATGCAGCATGTGGCGCCAGTGGCTCCGGTTCGAGTCGGCTGCGACCGGATCTACGGCTGGAAGTGGAGCGCAGTGGCATTGTGCTAGACGACGATGATGACTACGAGCACTTGGGCTTGGCCCAGGTGCGTAACAGTCGCCTCTACGACGACCGTGTCGATGATGGTGAGTTTGCTGCTAATCGGGTAGAAGGTATACTTAATGTCACTTATCTCTTTTAGATATCTTTCCATCATCAGCCTCGAGTCTGCATGCAGCGGCCAGCAATTCGCGTTATGTGCCGCGCTCCTATTCCAGCTACGATATGCCGCCACATGCTGCATGCGCTGCCGCTGCTGCATCGCCTCGTCGTCGACCTGCTCTGCGTCCGAATCGCTTGGTTCTGGCCTCGCCTTCGCCCAAAATGAAGCTCGATCTGCCGCTGGACACGTCGAACGTGGCTGGCGCGGCATCAGCTCTGCCCGATTTTGTGCAGGATCATTTGCCGGACTCGTGGTGCCAGGAGGCGCATCTAAGCTCGCCGCCCAATTCGCCATTAGGTGCTGCCGAGGCGCCCAGTTGCAGCGTTGCCATGGGCGGCGGCGCTGCTCTGCTCTTGCCCGCTGCCGTAGCCGCTGGCCTGTCCGGCGCTTCAACGATGCAATCAGCTAGCGATGCGTCTGGTTCTACGGTTAAAATGCTGCCCGATTTTCTGTCTGACGGTCCCATTCTGCACTCCTCGCAGCGTATGGCGGATGTGGCCATCGGACTGCCCTCGAATTCCATAGATTCACCACCCCAGGAAGCGGATGGAGGTGTGTCCTGCACGCTGCGCCAGGAGAACGAGCGTCTGCTGCGCGAGATGCAAGAGATGCGCGTAGAACTGAATGTGCAAACGCGTCGTGCCCAAGACTATGAGCAACAGCTGCTGGCAGTGGGCGATGCGCGACGACGCGAAACACTAGCGGCTACAGCACAAACACAAAATACGCAACGCTTGCGCAGACAAGTGGCTCAGCTGGAGGTAGATATAAAAGCTAAGAAAATTGAGAGATTTTTATATAATTTGTATGTATTCCTTTAAAGGCTGAGCTGTTTGAGCTGCGCCACAGTAGTGATCAGCTAACGGCTGGAGCAGCAGGCGCTGCGGGAGCAGCAGCTGTCGGTGGTGCTTCTGTCATGACACCAGGCAGCAGCCACAGCAGCAGCAGCAGCACATCGCGTCCGTCCAGAACGCAACAATTGTCGCGTGATTTACTGCGAGCTGCGGACAATGCTGAACAGAACTTGAGGTCAGTTTTGATAATGTTCGCTGAAAGCAATGGCTAAGTTAATCTCTCTCAATCCTTAGGCAATTGCTGGCTGGCGTGGATAATCTGCGTCAAATGGCGGCCAGCTTGGAGCCGCCTACAGCGGCAGCAGCCACGCCCCGCAGCCCCAATTCGGATCAGTACGCCGACTTTAACTAGCAACTTTATTTTTGGGTACAGCTGTTGTTGTTGATGATGAAGATGCTGTGTGTGCATGCGTGTGTGTGTCTGTATGCTTTTTACTCGAAAACCATTCAGTTTTGTTATTCGTAAGCCGCCCAACCAACACCACCTAGCGCTTGTTTTTAGCAACCGAAAAACCTTTTTATATCGAGCTATAAATATATACATATGCATATAAATATCTATATACAAATAACTCGTGGCATCTGTAGGGGATTCGAATGACGATTGGAGGAGCATCAAAGCGCAGACTTGTGATGTTGATTGAAATACCGGATATTAATATATATATATATATATATATATATATATATATATATATAAATTATACTATAAAAAGTGTAGCATATATATATATATTTTAATTGTGTTATAAATATAACAAATGTTTATATAAAAAAGAGGGAAACTATCAATAATACAACTGTAAATTAGCGCAAAATGCAAAATCAGCAAATTAACTAAAAACACACGGCACAGTTGCATTTCGAAACGCGAAATGTGAAATTTAATTCAAATACGCTAACAAGGGAAATAATTTAAAAAGAATACCTTTAAATCCCACAATCCAATATATACATAAATAATATATTTTGTTAAAAACAAAATTATGTTTAAAAATAAATAACAAACAAAGAATCTGTGCACCTGTGTTTGTAGTATGTGCTTCAACCAACAAATGAAATAAAATTGTGAGCAACATATTTAAATATGCTTTTATTTATAAACAATACATATATCTTTAAAATTTACTTTTTGAGAGTACAAAGTGATATAAGGAATTTCTTAGAACATAATGATATGCTCCAAATGCAGTTGATATTCTTTAGGAAATTTTGCTTTCTTTATTTAAGAGCAAAATTACTAAAAATGTAATAGCTTGTACCTCTCTCTTTCCACTTTCCAGCTCGTATAAAATGTAATCGAAACGTAAGAGTATTTTTCATAGTTTCATATACCATATTCCTTGATAGCTTGCACAGAGATCCCAGCCTTGACATTGCGCGAGCGTCTAATAGATAACGCATCTCCACACACACACACACACTCCCCTTTCGCTCTGACTTTCCTTTGCTCTTCGCATCTTCACACTTTCCAGTCGGCAGGGGATTGTTTACTATTCCAATGACTGCCGGTTGCTGGTTTTTCAATTCCATTTAGTTCAGTTGAGGCTCTGTCGTCGTTGAGTGCGCACCGATTCCGCTTGTAACGCGCAAGATCGGCGACTAGAAAAGAAAAAAAAAACTGTTTTACATTGCTCCTACGCGAATGTGCAAAGCAGAACAGTGCAAAAAGTGGACAAGACAAATTAATCAGGAAGTGTGGCGTTAATACTGCAGCATTTGCATAAATAAGCAGGAAAAAGTAGAATATAGCTAACATGCTGTCGAAGGGAGTGTTCGGTAAGTGTAAAGTTAATAATATGTAAGAAAACAATCAATAGTCTAATTAAATTTTTTAAATTCAAAAATAAAAAATTATCAAAAAAAAAAATACATTTTTGAATAACCTTTAATTCTATTTATAATTGTCCAATTTCTATGTGGGGCAAATTATTATTTTTTATAAATATAGTTGAATTGGTCTATTTTCGGCTTTAAATTAGACGTCAAAAGGCGCTTATCAGCTCTTATATTCAACGTTCTTATCTATTCAATAATATTTTATTTTTGCACATTTATGATTATTCGTTTGCTAGTTATTACTTTTAACTTTTTATTTTATTTGTTGTCTTTTTGTGTTCATTTAATTACATTTTTTTTCTATTTATCATTAATTTTTATTCATGCCATAATTATTTCAGTTTATGTTATTATTTTTTATTTTATTTTGTAGTAAATTAAGTTCAGCGCATACTTATTATTTTATAGTTTTTCTTTATTTATATTGTATTTTTAATTAGTATTATTTTGATTTTTATTTAAATATTTTTATTATTTTATTTAATTATATTTTTATTTTAGTTATTGTTTAAGCATTTATTATAATTTAATTATTTTGATATAATATACCTTGCTCGTGAATTTCTTCTTTTATTTGGGCAGTCTTTCAAGAGCATTTATGCAAATTCAAGTTTAATAGATATGTTTGTCGACCTTCTCCTGGCCCTGGCAATGGCAATGGCAATGGCAATGACCGAGCCATTTGGAACTGCGCACATATATACGAGACGCGATATGCGACTAGCCAAATACCCTGCAATCCCTATGTCCGCAAGTAATACAGCTCTAATCACGCCAGCCCGCGTGGACAGCGGCTGATAAGGCGTCTAAGCTGATAATTTGGCAGGTGTTTGTATGATAAGAGCTGAGCAGAGCAGCGAGAGAAATAGAGATAACTTTTCGCCTAGGTAGGGGGTCTAACGCTTATCGCATTGCGTCCAATTACGATCAGAATTTGTTAAGTGAGGACGGAGTAGATGGAGTGGATGGAGCTGCCAGCATGTTGCTGGGGAGGCGCCTCGTATCGCCTGTTCTATTATTGCACCGTTGTTACTGATTGTTGTTGTATTTATTGCGGTATTATATATTTGTTATGTTATATTATTTTAATTATTATTATTTAATTTTTAAGCTTGTTTGATCAACATTTTTTACTTTTTATTAGATTTAAGATCTCAATAATTTTTCAAAAATATTTGCAAGTTCCTTTTTTTTCTATTAATTTGTGTTTATTTTTAAGATTTTTAAGGATTTTTTTAAAAATTATATTTGATAGTCTTCTCTTTTAGATATTATTTGAAGATTTTTAAGAGTTTTTATAAATGTTTTAATATTCCATTTGAGGTGAATCACAATTCTAGTTTTTTTTTAAAGTTTTTTTTTAATTTTAATTTTAATAAGGGTATTCACTAGTTCACTTGACGAATTATCCACTGCAACAGAATTGAAACTTTCTATAGGCGCTTAAATTAAATTTAATTTAAAGTTTCCATTAAATACAGTTAAGCGATTTAAATCTGAACTCTACAACAATAACAACAATAGCAATGGCAACAAATTGAATCAAGAATTAATTGCGTTCAATTCCACGGGAGCAATAAATAAATGGAACCAGTTATATTTTGATCAACCCACTCGTTATGCATAGAGTCGGATCCCATTACGAAGATATTAGATCTATAGATATATGTATATACATCAGATACATGTATATTTTTTTAAATAATATATTTAGATTGCAAACTGCGCCTCAGTTTAATTATAGCCAAGTAAATGGTTTCGGTTTCCCTGTCTCGATTTCAATTTGCATTCTTAGACGTTCCATTCATTTGTATATATGCTATACAGACTATACAGACTATACAGTCTATGTGGACTATAAGAAACTGCCGGAGCTGCAGTCTATTCAAATTTAATCATTTGTCACGTGTCTGAAAACCTTTTTATAATGCCACAATTGATCTCACGCTTGACCTACCTGAAAGTATTACGAGAGATTGAGCAGATTGTGTCTAATATGATCTATTGAAATTGGAAAAATATATACTGGAATAGCATCTCTCTCTCTCTACTATATCCATCTCTCTCTCTCTCTGTCTCTCTTGCAGCTCAGACAACATGCAAATTGATCCGCTGCAGCTCGACGCTGCACTCGAAGGCAGCGCCCGCAGTCATGACCCAGCTGCAGAGCGAGATGCCCCAATGTGATCATCGTCCGGCTGCATACAATGGGCCCAGCTACGAGCGCATATTGGAGACACGCAAGAACCACCTGACGCCCAACTTGTTGGCGCACTTCAAGAAGCCGCTGGTCATCCATGCCGGGCACATGCAGTGGCTGTACGATCACGAGGGTCGTCGCTATCTGGACATGTTCGGCGGCATCGTGACCGTCTCTGTGGGTCATTGTCATCCGTAAGCCGAAGCTGCCCTCCACTGTGATGCCACATTAAGCCCTTGTTCCATCTCTCTAGCAAAGTAAACCAGGCGCTGAGCGAGCAAATGTCGAAGCTCTGGCACACGACCAACATCTATATGCATCCCAAGATTCATGAGTATGCAGAGCGGCTGACAGCCAAGTTTCCGGGCAAACTGAAGGCCGTGTGCTTTGTCAACTCCGGCTCGGAGGCGAACGACTTGGCCATGCTGTTGGCCCGTCTACACACGGGCAATCAGGACATCTTGACCTTCCGCAATGCCTACCATGGCATGTCGCCCTATACGATGGGCTTGACGGCTCACTCAACTTGGCGCTACCCGCTGCCGGGCGTCAACAATGGCATACTGCATGTCATGAATCCTGATCCCTATCAGGGCATCTGGGGCGGCTCTGCCTGCCGAGACTCACCTGTGCAGACCACACGCAGCTGCAGCTGCCCGCCAAATGACTGCCAAGCGGGTGTCAACTACTACAACGAGCTGGAGCAGACCTTCAAGTACTCGCTGCCGCGCGGCAAGGTGGCTGCCATGTTTGCCGAGTCGATTCAGGGTGTCGGCGGCACCGTTCAGTTCCCCAAGGGCTATCTGAAGCGGGCGGCCGAACTGGTGCGTGCCAATGGCGGCCTGTTCGTGGCGGATGAGGTGCAAACGGGCTTCGGCCGCACCGGCGATCACTTCTGGGGCTTCGAGTCGCATGACTACACGCCCGACATTGTCACCATGGCCAAGGGCATTGGCAATGGCTTTCCGCTGGCTGCAGTGGTTACCACGCCAGAGATTGCCGCCTCCCTAGGCATGGCTCTGCACTTCAATACCTATGGCGGCAATCCCATGGCCAGCGCCGTGGGCATCTCCGTGCTGGACGTGATCGAAGAGGAGCAACTGCAGCGCAACTCCCTGGAGGTGGGCACCTACTTCCTCAAGTGCCTCGAAGAGCTGCAGCAGCGCTACGAGCTGATCGGCGATGTGCGCGGCAAGGGCTTGATGATCGGCGTGGAGCTCGTCAGCGATCGGGAGACGCGTGCTCCACTCGCTGCGCCACACGTGCTCGACATCTGGGAGATGTGCAAGGATATGGGCGTCCTCTTTGGCCGTGGTGGGCTGCATGGCAATGTAAGTTCCGACGCCAAACCTCTTATATGTGTTTGTTAAGTTGGCTGCGCCTGCTTTCATTCTCTCTCTTATTAGCATAAGTGATCTAGTGATCACCTTATGTCTTAACTTTAGCACATACTGAGATAAATACTAATCCGTATAGATGTGGCAAAGTCTTATATGCGCCTGCTATTGCTTTTCGTGTTGGTCTTCTACTAGTTCATCTTTCGCTTGTCTTAACAATAGCATTAGCTCCTACATGTCTAATACGTATTATCTTTTTGTTCCTTTTCCTGATCGCTGCTCCTTTCATGCATCATCCACAAAACTCTTTGCAGGTTCTACGCATTAAGCCGCCCATGTGCATTAATCGCGCCGATGTCAAGTTTGCTGTGGATGTGCTGGGTCAAGCTATAGCGGATTCATTGGCCAGGCAAAATTAGTTAACGAAATTCCCAATTCAATTGGCAATTGGCTAGCAGAGAAGACTTCAGCTGCCCCCAGAATGCATTTATAGAATAGTTCTTAACTGAAATTCCTTTACGTAATAAAGAAAAAGTAATCCAAATTTCTCAATATACATTTTACATATCATATCTATAAAATATGCACTCTAATCTAATATCCAAGCACTCTTTGGGTTTCTCCTCTAACTCATGCTCATACGCAAGTTTCCTAACTACAAGTATGTATTACCTTTTATTACTTTTTAGAAACCCCTTTTCTATTATATAGTTATCAAATTGTCCTCTCTCTCCGCAGGTGCTCAGCTTTAGGCCGCCGCTTTGCATCAGCTACGAGGATGTGGAGCTTACGTTAAGTATTTTGGAAGCGGTTTTCGTGGAGCACATGAACAAGCGGCCACGCGGCTGGAGAGTTATAACAAGTCAGAATCGTGGCCTGCTCTAGCATTGCACCAATAACAATTATTATTAATTCTATATATAGTATTTATTACTTACAAAACTAGTTCAATATAATTGAGCTTAATTTCAATGTTTTAGAGAGCGCAAATCGAATTGAAAAGCAAACTGTGAGCATTTTACATTCCAATGACTCTGAGCGAGCGACACATTAATTTTAAATGTAAATTTATGTTTATGTATATGTATATTAACTGTAAATATTGTATATATAGATACTTTAGGCACAGCATTTGACATTAAAATAGTTTAACTCTTATACACTTTTATGTATATTTGCGACACTTCTTTTGGTATTTCTCTCATTTGTAACTTTGATTCACTAAACTAGATACTAAATAATTTAATTGGTTTGCTAAACAATCTGTAGATCTGTACATTAATTAACACAATTCCTATTCGCATCAGCAGACTCCATCGTCAACATTAGTCAATTCTTGTTGTTGCTGTTGGGTCTGGCTGTTCTCCTTATGCTATACTTGTATATCAATGGGTTTGCCATCGTTTTCATAGTCCGAGTTGAGCAGCGTCTCTGAAAGCTCCTTTCGCGCCTTTTGCACCACCCAAAACATTAGAGCAACGCCACAAATTACCTAAAAGTAAAAGGAAAATTAGTTACAATTCTTAAAAATTTATGAAATAAATAACAAAAAATTTCAAACTTTACTTTAAAGTCTTAAACCACATGACAAGAGCTGCTAATTGAGTTATACCGAGTATAAGACTTTACAGCACAATAGTAGAAGACTTAAAAAGTATTGCATGCTTTCAGGCTGCACACGAAATTCAAGCGTTTTCTTAGTAAATACACGGCCTCGAGGCTCATTAATAATTTAAAGGCAAAGTTATGCACTTTTGTGCAATCACATTCAAGTCATGCCAAATTCGCAGCTTAATCTAGCACGCAAGCCCTTTTTTTGTTGTTGTTATGCAGCTACTAGGCCAACAAAATCAATAAGCCTCGAGTAAGAGAATGATAAGTTGAAGAAAACAAAAATATTTGCCACGCGCTAAACACAAGGTAAATAGTGTTTATATGTACACCAACTTACCTCTATCACAAAGCTAATATAGCCTGTCACTTTGGAGCTATGATCATTGAGCACCTCGTGCATCGATCGCAGTGTGGAGCCCAGATAAACATTTATCGTTTGGGCGGGCAACAGACCCAGAAATGTGGCCAAATGGTAGTCCCGCGCCTGAATGGAACTGATCTGTAAACGGAAAGGTGTACAAAATTAGTGAGCGTGTAATAATCAATAAACAATATGATTGTGTAATCATTTGTATATGTTTATATGTTTGTTTATATTTTATTCATATCAATAAACTATAAAAAACTTGCATATGTATGTATATAAATATATACATATATATATAATATATATATAATATATATATAAATAAATAATTAGAAAATGAAATAAAAAGAAATATTAAATATTGCCTAAGCACTAGAAAAACCTTTGTTTTCAAATACAAACAGTATAAGAGTATGCGTTTAAGTATAAGAGTTTACTTAAAAGTGTTGCCTACTTTCAGGCTGAGTTCAATTCGATAAAACTGACTAAAAAATACTTAAATCAAGTAAAAAAAATTAAATCAATAAATTAATATCAAGCTCAATTAAGACTTCTTTTTTATCAATAAATATCAGAAGTCTAAATTTGTATATACTTGGCTATAACCTCTGAAGCGGTGCTTGGCAACTATTGATGCCATGCCACACAGGTGCCAAATCGTAAATAAGAATAAAAGCATTTATAACTAAATGTTAAATTAAAAAATATAGGTAAGACATTATATATGAACTCTATAAATGAATGTTAAGTAATTTGTTAATTTTTTAGTAGCCACTACAATTTTTATGAAGAGCTCAATTCCCTTTCTCAAACCTTGAAGTGCACAATTTGTATTAAATAAAAAAACATAAAAATTATTTTGTTTATCACTAAATTCTATTGGTCAACATTTAGTGTTCAGTCGCACTGCCATTTTTATTAATAGTATTTGTATAATATACGTAATGAAGAAAGGGAAGAAATTACTCAGCGCAAGTATTTTGCTGTATAAAATATAAAAATTTGATTTTATTTCACTCAAAAGTTAATTTTTATTTTTTTTTGTATGACTCGCATGACAGGTATGACTTAGAGCTAACAGTTTTCACAGCTTTTGGCTGAGCAATAAAACCCGTTTATAAAATTTCAAGTTCAAACTGTGATTCAACTTTCAGCTGCATTTTTACACTTGTTTCTAATTCTTTTATTTTATTTATTTTTATATTTTATTGCTGCTGCCCACAATTAAAACTGTGCTCTAATTTGTGCAATCAACGTGAATGTGACTAATGAAACAATGTTATGTGTGATGAATTCTATATAAATATATATTAAATTTGACACAGTTGCGAAACGATTGTATCGAATCTTGACTCAATGCAAATATATGTAAAGAAAACTTTCCAAAAATTTACGTATTTTAAGCAGCTGTTTCTCTACACTATAAGCGCGTGGCTGAAACTTCTCTGCGAACGCATTTCGAGTGAGTAAACAGCAGAATAACTGAATAAATACACAGTAAAAGTCCCCATAAACAAAGAAGCTTGACTATACCGATTGTACATATATTTGAGTTTCTATATATATATATATATATATGTTTGTGTGTACATGAGTGTAGACAACTGTTCGTCCCTGACTGATAGTCGCTCAAATACATTTATATATATACATATATACATATTTATATTAACATGAAACATATGTTCGAGTGCGCGGGTCAAAGCCGCAGCAATTATAAAATACTCGAGATCTTTAAGATGTCTTATAAAATATTTGCATTGTATCATTATTAACTCTTGTATAGAAAGTTAGTTTAACTCACTCCAAAGATGACATTTTGCAGTCCAAATGGTATGGGCGTCAGACGCGTAAAGAGCACAACTCGAAACGCTTTGGGTCCAGATATCACGCGCAGTATGGCTCGTCCAGTCTCATTTTTGATCATTCTGAAAATAGACACGAGCAGCAGATGAAGCAATTCAATTTAAATAAAAAGAAACGGCATAGATGTGCCAAATGACGAAAATACATATAAGGTTTGATAAATGAGTGTGAGTGTTTATGAAGAGTCCAAAGAATTGATTTTTTAGATGAAGCTTTGCGGTTTCGTTGGAGCTCAAGTTGGAATTGAGAACTTATATTGCATATGATATAGAGATATAATATAAAACAGTGCAATTAACAAGTTATTAAACACCTTTAAACTCATCAAAGAACTCAGCAATTGCTTCATATTGTCTAATCTAAAGGAATCGCTTAACAATAAAACTAAACTTTGCCTTATACTCAATTCCAGTTCAGCTCAACTCAAGTCTCTATTATTATTACATTAATTAGGTGGCTTGAGTCACCTGTTTAACTAGTTACACTATATTTATCAAAGTTGAACTTGACTTAAACTACTTTCAAAGTCAATTTCACTTCACAGCAAACTCGATTTGAGTTATCATTTAAGTGAAATGCTCTCTGTAATTAGAACTTTTAGTCTATAGAGAAACATACCCAGTTACAGGTAAACAATGCTTATCGCATTAGTGTTAAGCAATGTAATTTGCTTTCCGCATGAATGGGTAAGCAAACTCCTACCTGTCTCGACACCTGTCAATTATTCATGCGTGCGTGTGTTTATAGAGGTAATCAGAGTTCAATTTGAGTCCATCAACTGGTTGTCAGTTAACCAGTTTATCATCAACTGGCTATAGCCAAAAGCGAATTGCCCACATTTGGGCCATTTAGTGGTCTGGCCTGGGCTGGGCTGGTTAGTAATTTATGATTGCCCAATTTATTAGCCATTTGTCTGATACCGATCTGTCACTGTGGGGTGTGTGCTGTTTGCTACCACTTATACGTACATAGATTATGTATATCAACGCACAGTACTTTTAATTATAATAATTTTGCTATAATCATAATTGATCGAATGGCACATACTCTGCAGACGGTGGCAGTAAATCAATTGAACGGTGTTAGCCTAAAATAATTTTTGTGTTCTTCCATATCTCATTTCCACTCTAAACGAGCTAATTGTGGCCACTAAAAAGCGGGCTAGTTGGGGCTGCCTGGCTAGTAGGTAAGCTAGAGACAGCTTCATTACTTCATTACTCATTCTAATCATTTTCATTATCATTATCATTATCATTATCATTATCATTATCATTATCATTATCATTATCATTATCATTATCATTATCATTATCATTATCATTATCATTATCATTATCATTATTACTATCATGTCCTCTGCACCATTCTACCCTCTGACACGAACTATTCCATTACAGGGTATTCGCAGTTACCTTAATAATTACTCAATTGACATATTGCCATTATTTCAATAAACTGCAATGCAGCCAATAAAACATATGAGCATATACAGTTATTTATAACTGTACACACTGTCACTATTGTGAACTGATAAAGCAATTGAAGCCGTGAAGCCATTTAGTTAGCTGCGGAAGCCAACGCTTGGTGGTGTTAAAATTATTTGAAAAGCTTCAAATTTGATAAGGCACTAACACAAATGCATAAATGTGTGTGTGTGTGTGTGTGTGTGTGAGTGTTCATGTGAAGCAGCACCAAGCAGCAACTGTGCACATGAAAAGTAAATTAGCTAAATTAACACATTTATTTAATTATAAACAATTGCCCTTTCTTGACTACTTTCTGAAGCCGATGCCATATGCATATATAAATAGCCGATATATATGAGCTGTAGAAATGAGAAAGATACAGACTTAGAGCTGCTGATTCCTGGCTGAGCTGTGAGCTGAGGCTAGTTCACCTAGCCTTAACAGACAGCAGTAGTAATTGCTAGAGAAGCATTCCAAGTCATCTTATTTTTAAAAGAGTTATACAAAGTTGGGAATCAAGAATTCTTGATTGTTTTTCTTATATTACTAGTCTATATATTTATCTTTTAGCTGATAACTGTTAACTGCTGATTATTTGGTGAAAAGCTTCATAGACTTATTTTACAAATTTCTTTTTATTTTACAAATTAATATTTTAATCTTATTTTCGCCGTATCTAAGAATTTATTGTTAAGGAGGTGAAATATTACTTATAAATTTTGTCTTATTTTTAACAAATTCGCCGAGATTTCGCCTTCATAAATCCGTGATCGATCAAATTTTAGTTTATTACACTACGCCCGTGCAAAGGTCGTTTAAATAAAAAGAACATCGTTGTACACTACCTGATTTTATACAAGGACTAGACGCCATTCATTCACAATCACAACACAGTTTGTTCAGTTGGCAAAACACTTCAAGCGCTTGTTGGCGTCGCGCAGCTCCTCCACATCGCGGGCATTGGACACACAGCCGGTGGTGAGGAGATCGAGTTCGTGGTTTTCCTTGATGTATACGCAATCATTGAGGATGCAAACGAGTCCGCGGAACTCCGGATAGGCCTGCAAGCAATCATTTGGTATAACAACGGACAGCTGCAGCGATACCACATTGCCGGTCATCAGTTTATAGTTGAGCATTTGATCGCCATCCAACTCATAGTCCAAGCCCACGTGCTTGATGAGCGTGGGGAAGTATGTGAATCTTGACACGGCCTTATAGGTGCCTGGCAATCGCATTAAATTATCTGGCAGCACGCGCATCTTTTGCAGCTGCCCAGCGAGTAGGATGAGGAAGGTGGCATGCAGCTCACGTGGCGTGCGGGCAATGGAGCTCGTATTGCACATCAGCGTACATAGCTTGGATCGGATCTCGAGCAGCATGTTGTAGAGCACCTTCTGCGGCGGAGAAAAGCGCCCATGGATGGGCCAATATCTGGCCAAGCCACCGTGGTAGCCCGCATACTGGCAGGACCCATCCATTAGCCACACATTGCCCAGTCCGGCTGTCAGCTTCGGCTCGTAGGGCAGCTCTTGGTAGGCGTAGTGGTGGCGACATTTCTCGACGAAAAGCATCCCCAATTCGTGTTTACCTTGATGGGGCTCGTGCTCCATTATTAACTCCTGCATCGATTCGGCAGCTATTGAGTTGGCACGGCGTATAGCTGAAAGTTCCCGGTTGGTCTTTATGCTGCGCACACACTGCATCATGTGGCGGGGACAATCGATGCTTAACTTTAGGTCGTTGGCAAACTCTTTGATGACCTGAGTCAAAGGACTTTCATCTTTAGTATACCACAACTTGGCACTAATATTATGGAGCATACGGTGGAGTGTTTCCTTCAGAGATGACAACAACATCACCTTGTCTACATTGAAGCGCTGGCAGGCATAAGCATTTAGCGAGGGATCTATATACTGTTTATCGTCCGGCTGGAACAGTATAGTGCGCAGCTCCATCAGACGATTACGCAACAGCAAGATGACCATATCGGGCAGCAGACAGTCGCACAAATATGCAAATTCAGCGCGCTGTCGTACTGGCTGTCCCTTGATGGACCTAACGCCCGCTATGACTAGGGCATGTGTATTGCCACGTCGGCGCTCAGAATGACTCAATCTATCCATGACGGCCCAACGATGATGGGCCACCTCCTTAGGTATCATTACCTCTATGCGATTTGGATCATCTCTCGTATAGTCGGCTGTTCTCCATTTCACTGACGGATGCTGTGCCCGCAGCTCAGCCACCGACGATGGGTTCACCATTTTGGCAAATTCTGAATCTTCCACAATAATTTCAGTTGTCGGTGACGCTGAAGCTGTGGCTGAAGCTGATTCTGACAGAATCGATGTGGGCGTTGTTGCCGGTGTCGGTGCCGGTGCCGGTGCCGCTGCCGGTGGAGGAGCTTCCTGCATAAGTTCACTAATTTTTTCATTGCAAATTTGACTTTGTGGCAACAGAAAACTGACCCAAGGCCGGAAGCCTTTAAATTTTGGTAATACTCGGAACATGATTTATAAAAGTAAAAGTGCAATAAATAAGCTTAGCGCAAATGGCAACTTAATAAAAGTTTACTTAATCTGAGTACAGATGGAAACACAAACCTAAACCGTATACATTACTTCTATTTGGATTGCTGCCAAGCAGGCCCTGTAGACGTATGCTTGACTAGACGGACTAGATACCCAATCACAATGAGCGTGCCCGATTGGGCAGATATCCTGTGCAATAACTTGCAACAAGCAAAGGAAAAGAAGTTTCGTTCTACTCACTTGTGCACAGCTATGCGGTGCCGGCAGCTTCTTATGGTGAGGTGAGCTATGGCTATGCCCACATTAGCTCCCAGTAGCACTGTTAACCAGCCGCGCCACCAGCCGAACAGGTAGCCAGCGGTTATCAGCAGCACAAGGTAACCCACGACAATGGGAAAGCTGACGAGTGTGAAGAGCGCCATGAAGATGATGAAGATGGTCCAGCGATTCTGTGTTTCGATCCAGAAGAGCAGTGCCTTGGCATAGTTGCGCGACAGATAGCCAACAACGAGTATGATACCCAACAGGGCGATGGGCACTAAATAGCTGAGATACCAGTTCCGCATGATGAATGAGTGCGTACGCAGCCAGCAGGAGTTGCGGCGCAAATAGGACGCGCAGGAGGAGGAGGAGGACGATCTAATGTGATTGCGTCGATTATTGGCGCTGCTACCAGCGCCGGGATTAACAATGAGAAACGTATCACATTCGCTGCTCTCCTCAATTGCATTCTCTACACAGCTGTTGCCATCGACTGCCGTTATTGGGATTCCCAAGTCGCAGTTGGCGTTGGCGTTGGCTTCCAGCGGAAAGCGCGTGCTTGTGCCGTTGTAGCTGTTGCTCTTGACCAACTGCGGTGAGTTGCAGGAACTTGCGACCGAGACAGAGACCGAACCGACGTGCACCAAGGAATCATCCATAATTGGTTTTTTGTATTTGTGCATGTTCGCATATCTGAAGCTGTTATTGTTATTTATATTACTGTTATTGTTGTTGTTTTTGCAGTTCACTTCCAGTGTTGTGGAGGCGCTCATTTTAGGGCTTTCAATGTGCCCAAAAATTTTAACATTTACAGTTATTGTTTGTATATCCCCTTTCTTCCCCCTTTCGCATGGCTTAATGGCACTTCATTTTCTCTTTCACTTCGCATTGTTTTGCTGCTGTCACTCGAAGAAATTTCACTTTTACATGCATGTGTATGTGAATGTGTTATAAATAAATAGATAAATACACAATGTGCAAATAGGCCGCCAGCGAACAAGCTGATGCCCTTTTTCACTCACACACAGCGCATTCACTTAATTTACTTCAATAACAAATTTAGATTTTTATTGTTTTGATTAAATTAAATAAATACACTTCATTCAATCGCTGACGTTGACTTTTTGTTATTAAATTCGTATGTAGTTTACAATTTTTAAACAAATAATTTAAAATGCATTCACAATTTGCTTTTAAGTCTACGAAGTTTTTAATTGAACTAGACAGAAGGCCTATGCGCCAACACGTCCTACTACGCCGAAACGAAATATTAAACTGAAAACCTCGGTGTGACCGCAGCCCGCAAAAGCCAAAACCTCTAAATATACATAATAAATAACACCGAGAAAATGTATGCGCCGAAGTTTGCATACTCTATTTAAGCAGTTATATAAATATATAAATTAGCTCTGGTATACTAGTAAGTTTTATAGATAAAAACGTTTCTAACAAGCATATATATTAATTAATTTAATTAATATTAATTTTATTTCAATTCCTGTTCGTTGGACTTTTTGGAATTGCGTGATACAGATGCTATGCTCGCCTGATCCTGTAAAAGAACCAGGCGCACAAAGGCCAAGTTTAACAGGAAAGCCTGCCCAAGCAGCTCCCGTTGATATCGCTCAACTTTAGAGTACATTGAGCGCAAATTTGAAGGGAACTGCACTTGATTCTGCAGATTAATCGGCTCGTCTTGTTCTCCATACTCCTCCATATTATAATACGTCCGCATCATGCCAAGAATTGTTTCTTCCGAGGAAACGCGTTCAGTACCAACCAGATGATTGAAGAGACGCGCAGTCAGGAACCGACGAAGGTAAAAGACATTCATTTTGCTTTCGCCGGCATTAATGCGCGCCATCAGAGCGTAGCTTAGCATCGAAGTAACTTGTGCCTTCTGGATGTTCACATTCTGCTGGTCAATGCTGCCGGGATTGTTGCTTGCCTGCGCCATCTGCGGATTCTCCAAGACATAGCAGTCTGCTTCGGGTATTTGATGAGACACATAGAGGCAACGGCGCACGAGTTCGACTAGATGTAATTTCTTGTCGTTTATTTCGTGATGCTGCCAGTGACTAAGCAAACAAGGTGAATATTTAGTCTGCGGCAATTCCAGGCGTGCCCAACTAACACTCGTAACACCAATGCGCACTCCAACAGTTGATGAAATGAGCTGCCTTTGCTGCTCATCCAAAACTGGTGTTATAAACGGCGCTATGCGGGAAGCCTTTGCAGCTTTAGCACCACTCGAAGCACTTGGCACCGGTTCCAGTAAACTCTTGTAGAACTTGGTAACCACTTTTAAGCCAAATCCATCAACATAGAGTATATCGCTTAGCTCTCGCAGTGGACCATTGCGCGCCTTCCAGTTGTGTAGCTTGTTTGCACGTGACTTTGTAATATCGTACCTAAAAAGAGAATCAGTCACTAAAATATTTATTTTATTTACTAAATACAAACCTTAGTAGCTGCTCAACGCCTTTTTCGTTTATGACATTTAAAATAAGCCTACGCTGCTCATCTGTATAAAACGGCAATTCCACAGGCTGCTCTGCATCCCGAACTATAGACTCTGCAGGTGGCTGATTTCCCAACTGCCTTATAAAATGAGTACTTAAAGCACATAGTCTATGTTTAGCGTTAAAAGCAAGCATTGTTTAATTTAATGGTGTGTAAAAATTCTTAAATTTAAATTGTAATTTCGCAAAGCCAACAGGTTGATTGTTATTAACGCTAACAGTGTGACCAGCTAATAAAATGGGCAAACGTAATAAAAACAGTTGATTACAGCTGGTGCAGAAAAACAGCTGTCAGCAGCATTCGAATTTTCGGAAACTCAACTAAATAGTTAGTAAACACGCAGTACGAGAAATGTGTGTAACGTTCATTGACTATTGACGCATATATTAAATACACAATGCAATTTTCCTGGATGAAGCTAGCAATTTATCTGCTAACATTTTTAACATACGCATATTCTGGTTATGGATCTAGCACAATTGTGCACCTAAGAGATGCAATAATAGCTGCTGAGGCCATTTTCGGTGACGTCTTTAAAAATTTCATCACAATTGTGCGCAAATTTCGAACCGTGCATGAGGTATTTGATGCAGCCGTCGACGAAAACTGCATATTTCAGTGCCCAGTGCCAGATGGCGGTGGAACGGGTAAGTACTTGACCCACACATAGATATTATTATGTAAATTAGATAGCCTTATTCTGGCGTGTTGTTTATCTTTCAGCGCCGCGCGCCGTACAAAATAAGTTCTATGTGCCCGCCGCTGATGGCTGCGGTTCTTTGGGCCTGAGAATCAGTACCGAATATCTGCCCGCCGCCGAAATGGAAACATGCTGCAATACGCATGATATTTGCTATGATACCTGCAATAGCGATAAGGAGCTTTGCGATTTGGATTTCAAGCGTTGCTTGTATAGATACTGCGATAGCTATGAGAAATCTATTGCCAGCGATCTGATGACCAAAGGCTGTAAAGCGGCCGCGAAGATGTTATTCACAGGTACCTTGACACTGGGCTGCAAATCTTACCTGGATTCGCAGCAGCGGTCATGTTACTGTGCTCCTAGCAAACCGACTAACTTTAATGGCAATAAGTACTCGAATAGCAAGGAAAAACAGCAGCGGCAGAAGTACGGTTGGAAGGATCGTAACGAAATATAACACGGATTGGATAAATATGTTATTTGTTGTAGTTAAGTTCATGTTAGTTTTTAGTTATGGTTATACTTTTCTACCATTTGACGAATTTTTATAGCTTAATACCAAAGCTAGCAGAGTCTCAGTATTTGTTTAGCGTGCAGATATTTTGAAATGTTTATATTTTATAATTTAAAAAAAACTTACAAGTTGGCTGAGCGTTACATTAAAAATAAAGAATCATAAGTTATTTTTGAATTTGCTCGTTAGGTCGGAATTTCTATATATGTTCATAGTTATCGATATTTTTGAGCCTTATACAGATATAAATTCGTTATCGACTCGTCGATTATCTGGTACGCATTTCGCAACTTGCAACACTACACATTAACCTTAATTGCATTAACCAACACTAAAACAACACAAGCGCAGCAAAAAAAAAGATTTTGCAATAAACTGAACAAATTTTTAATGTAGCTTGCCATTTCCTAAATCTTGCAATGGGCTATGATGTCAATCGCTTTCAAGGCGAAGTAGACGAAGAGCTAACATGTCCCATATGCTCCGGGGTTCTGGAAGATCCGCTTCAGGTTTGGCAATAACAACAACTACAGCTAAAAACATTTTTCATTTCGATTCTCAATTATTCCACAGGCGGTCATGTGCGAACACGCCTTCTGTCGTGGCTGCATAAATGAGTGGCTCACACGACAGCCCACATGCCCTGTTGATCGCAATGCTCTAACTACTGCAAATCTGAGAGCTGTGCCGCGCATATTGCGCAACTTGTTGTCCAGGTAACTCTTGTAGACAATATGTATTTTCTATAACCAACTAATGAGGGTTTTATAGGCTTTCGATTACCTGCGACAATGCGCCTTATGGATGCACAGCTGTATTGAAACTGGATGCATACAATTCGCATTTGGAAGACTGCGTACATAATCCAAAGCGTCCATTTCCCTGTGAAAAAGGCTGTGGCTTTGACATACCCAAGGACGAACTCAAGGACCATAACTGTGTGCGTGAGCTGCGTGCGTTAATTGTTAAACAAACAGAGCAAATTGGCCAACTCAAAACGGAAATAACCGATCAGCAGCTAACTATCAATGAGTTGAAGCGAGAACTGCAGCTATTTAAAGATTTTATGCGTGCCATGCGCGTCTCGAATCCGGCAATGCGTGCGATTGCTGATCAAATGGAGCGCGATGAGGTGATACGATGGAGCAGCGCCTTGGCCAGGGCGCGTGTAACACGCTGGGGTGGTATGATCTCCACTCCTGATGATGCGCTGCAGGTAATATAAACAATTGTAACAGTAGTTAAAATATACTTATCAATATATTATATGACAGCTTATGATCAAACGTGCTTTGTCGGAGTCTGGTTGCCCGCCACACATACTGGATAGCTTAATGGAGAACTGCCACGAGCGACGCTGGCCCCGTGGTCTAAGCTCTTTAGAAACGCGTCAAAACAATCGACGCATCTATGACAATTACATATGCCGACGCATACCAGGTGAGTTTGAAAGATAGTAAAATTATTAGGTAAACAGTCATCCTGACTAAACAAAGGTTTTGTGATTGCAGGTAAACAGGCGGTGCTTGTGCTGAGCTGTGACAATGTGCACATGACTGAGGATGTGATGGTCGAGCCAGGCCTGGTTATGATCTTTGCGCATGGCATCGAATAGAGTTGGTCGTGTTGCAGCTACATTCAACTAATTAGTAACTAAATACTTAAATGTATGTCAAACAGTGCTCAGTTTTGTTGTTTCCTCGAATTAATGCATAAGCCTAAGCATAAACACATTCACACACACACACATACACATACACATTTGTCATATTAATCATTTATAGCATAAGGATTAACTCAAATGCACTTTCAGAACTAAGAACAAACAAAAAAAAACCATTCAAGCGCCTCATGACGACTTTAAAGTTGTAGTAAAAATTGATATAAAACTTTTGTTTCCATGAACACATGTCGTTTATGATGTATGTGCGTATTCCATTTGCACATACACACTCGCACATGTCTGTGTGTGGTAATCATAATTTTTTAATTAAGCGATCTCAGCAAACAAACTTTTGTTATTGTTCACTTAAATTCGCTGGATGCATTCAATTTGTGTCTCTTATATAATTGTGGCTTTTATTTAAGGAACTTAAATAATTTACTTAATGTGTAATTAAATTAAAAGAAATTTTAAGTAAAAGTATTCCATTTTTTATTAAATAAAACAGAATCTTTAGTTTACATTGGGAAAATTTTGTGTTATTCTATGTGGCTCAATCGCAATCGCATTAAAAAAGTTTACTGGGTTGCATTATCTCAGCTTTACGTTGCCCTCAGCCCACGCACACACACACACACACACGCACAAGAGTTCTGGGCATCATCTGTTCCCGAAAAGGAAATCCAATAAGTCGCCTAACCAAAAGCAACAGTAACAACGATATCAAACTGGTTCCTGTATGAGAGCTTTAAGAAAAAAAATTCAAACCGGTTACGGCTTTCGTAGACATGTTTTTTTCGACTCATTATACAAACAATTGTTTAAATGTTTTGTGTTTTGCGTGTTGACGCTTTTTTGCTTTGTTACATGTGCCAGAAATCGATTAACGAATGCTTAGACAACTATTGATTGGACAAAATTTAAATATTAATTAGCGGTTTTATCACTTCGAACTGTCAGGGGGCGCCCCCTGGCGTTTGAAAAGTGAGAGTTTCAGTGGAATAAACCGCAATCGGCGCGCGCAGCTTCCTACAGTCGTCTACGCAGCGCCGTTGCGGTCGGACGTGCCTTTGAAATATTCAAAAGTTTTCACTGAAAACGTTTAATAACGCAATGAATTTGTCAATTTGTATGCTAATCTTTGCGGTCGTTTGCCTAGCGGCGACGTCAGCGGCGCCACAGCTGAGGCAACGCAACGAGAAGCAGGTTCTGGAGGAGTTGCGTAAGTATCGAAAACTGATCGATTCCTATTGAATAACAATACTAATTGATATGATCGATCCAACAGCTCAAAAGGGCGCTACCATCGAGGAGGTGGTGCTAGAGTCGAATCTGCACATCAGACCCAAGGCACGACAGAATGTGAGACGCGTTCGATCCCTGGTGGATGAGACGCTTAATCAAATTTACGCTGCGCACAAGCGCGTGAAGCGTCAGGGACGCGGACGCGGACGCGGTGGATTTGGTAGCAATTCCCAAGTAGGCGCAGCTGCAGGCGGCGCTCAAAGTGGCGTCAATGTGGGTGCTGATCGCAATGGCGGCATTGCCGATGCCAATGTGCACTTCAACCCATTCGGTCCCTTGGGCCCTAACGGCTACAACCAGGAACAAACGGCCTCAAATGGTGCTGCGAATAGCCACTTCAACAATGGCTTCAATTCCGGCTCATCTGCGGCCAATGCGCAGGCACAGGGCTTCCAATCGCAAAGTAATCTCGGCTCTTTCGGTGCCTCCTCCACCAGCACGGCTACCCAATCGCAAAACTCAAATCCATTCGGCAACAGCAATTCTGCCGGCGCCTCCCTTAGCCAAGTCTACAAGCTGCCCAACGGCCAGACCATCAATTTTGCTTCCACAAACAATTTCGCCAATAGCGGATTTGGCAACACTGCCAGCAGCCATGGCGGAGCTGTTTCTGTGACCGGTTAATGGCATTAATATTATACAAGCTTTTGGATAAAAATGTGCAATTGTGTAGACTCGATTTGTAATAAAATTGTATCTAATTTCTACGCTTCTAACACGTCTGGCACTTTCCAATTATTAACAAAAAACTGGAACTGCCTACGCATACATATTTAACAGTATATAAAACTTATTTGCTTACCATTTAGAGGTCATTAACCAGAGTCTGCCAACTCCGAAATATATCGCATGACATTTTGATTAAAATTTGTATGTTTTAGTTTTATTGGTTTGTTATTATATTGGCTTTGAAATTAGTCGGATTCGCTTTCGCTCTCCGATTGAAAATCGCCCACTTCAATAGAGAATTTGTATTCCTGATCGCATCCCAAATATGAATCGCTCATATAGTACAATGTATAATCATGCTTGCCTGGACTGGGCGCCACAAAGTCCAGCTTGACTTTAGCCTTTTGTTGCAGTGTCAGACGTTTGATGGAGAGCAACGAATTGGTCTTTGGATCACCGATGACCACCCACCAGCCCTCCTCGCGCTTCTGTGGGAAGAATGGCGCAATAACCGGACCGGTAACATCGTCCTCACGTTCCAGCTGCACCACCACATTAACCGTGGAGCCAGAGTTGATGCGATCCTTATCAACTACCTCGTAATTAAGCTCAATGTTAGGATAACGATTGCAAAAACGAGCCACATCGGCCATTTGGACATCGGACAGCTGCAGCAAGCGTGTGCGATCCTCGTCCTCCAGTTCCATTATATCGAAAACAGTTTCGATTTTCTGCAAAGGAAATAAAATGAAAATTGATTGAGGACGTAAGCAATTTTGAGAAATTTTACTTTTTCTGTGCAGCGTTTGATGATATCAGCGTTAAAGTGTGGCAGCTGCCGCAAATACGAATCCTTGCTCCACATAGCCTGTGTAACCATCTGGGCCAGTTCCATGGCGGCCACAGCTGGCGACAGCCAGCCATTGGAGCTTAGCACATCCACGCAGGCCTGTATCAGGCGTATTGCTTTGCTGAGTATCTGCTCCGTATCGCCTTGAAGCTCTGGTCCCAGCTGCAGCCGTGAGAGATGCGCTTGAAGCAACAAGTTGGTCTTTATGTGAGGATCGTTGAATCTACAAAGAAATGAGTAATATATTTAAGGAAAAATTTAAACAAAAGTAACTAAATTTTAATATTTACTTGGGTGCTGTTTCATTGGGTCCAGTTAGCTTGTTTGGCAAGCGCTGGGAGAGCGTGCGCAGAACCTGCTCCTCGTGATGCCTCACTACAACATCCTCATACTCGGCTGCCGATGAAATAATCTCCAATAGGCCGCGTACTTTTGTTTTACTGTTCAACGACAAGCTGAAGAGCTCTGCAAGACATTGTTTTCGATTAGATCAGATTGTTAATGGAAAAACTAGACTGGATGTTACCTATAGTCGTATAGTTAATATAGTAGTAGGCGGCGATCATGCCCAGGTTCAGAGGCAATGTATCCATATCATCTTCAACACTTATGCACTTGGATTGCTCCAGATCGCTGAGCGTATTCTCCACCAGCTCCGACAGATGATCGGACAAATGTCGATGCGTGACGCCCTGCAGATTGTAGTAGTTGGGATTCTGAGTCAATCTTCGATAGAGGAATGTCCATGTTAGATAATCCACGGCATCTTGTTTGTTCTCAATGGTTTTGGTAACCACCTCGGCATTGAAGTGATCGTGCATACGATGATCCAAATGGCTCTCGATCGGCAGCGGCTCGTTGATAAATTTCTTAAAGAAATCCTTTTTGGAACTCTGACACATCAGCACACACTTGGCATCCGCATCCTCGTTGGGTCTGTTGGCGCGTCCAATCATTTGCAGCACATCCGTAATGGGATAATCCTCGTACGAATGATTTTTGCCATTGTAGAATTGTGTGTCCATGACGATAACGAGATGTGCCGAGATGCTCATGCCCCAGCACAGATCCCGGGAGACAACAGCCAGCTGAACAGCGCCCGAATCAAAGAGCTGCTCGACCAGGCGATGATCCGAGGCAGACAAACCCTCGTGCAGATAAGCAACGCCCTGAGCAAGCGTCTCCTTCAACGTTTTGTCCGACATGCGCTCGAGGAAGGGCTGGATATCATCCTCTTCGGCATGGAAGAAACGATTCGGCTGCAGATCCGAGGCGGCATACGTCAATATATCAATGGCTGTAAGACGCGCCTGTTTACGCGACGAAACAAATACAATTACGGGTTTATGTGGGCTGTACTTAAGTATGGCATTGTACACAGGCTTGGACATGGTCGCAATGCGTGTGGCGTTGTGGGTGACATTGAAGCCCTGTATGTGCAGCTCTAGTGGTATGGGCCGTACGCTTGGATGAAAGTTGAATGTGGCATTCGGATTGCAGCCAAGCCACTGGGCCACATCACGAGCATCTGTCAGCGAGGCGGAGAGAGCAACGATACGTATCTGTTTTTCAATTTGGGAGCTGATATAACGCATGCGGGAGCAGACAATCTCCATGACGGGACCCTCCTCACCGCCCACCAGCTGCAGCTCGTCGACGATGAACAAATTGATCTGCTGCACATTTTTACGTTGCTTCCAACGGCGCGAGAGCACATCCCATTTATCCGCTGTGGTTATAACCAACTGACCCTTGGCAATAAGCTTAAGATCCGTGCCCGTTTCGCCCGTCAGTTTTACCACCTTAATATCCAGACCGCCAAATTTGTTATGCCAGTCGGCAAAGACCAGATCGGCAAGCGCCTCTTGGGACACCAGATAGACGCATCGTCCCTCGCTGCTTTGGCTAAACAAACGCATAATGGCAAATTCGGCAACTGTCATTTTACCCGATCCCGTGGGAGCACCCACAAAGACATTCTCATCGCTGTTGTAAACCGCGTTGAAGACTTGCGTCTGTATAGGATTGAATTGTGGGAATCGTTGCGAATAGAATGCTTCAAATTTGGGCTGGCGTAAGGCGCTTATGGGCAGCGGCTGTAAGTCGAGCAGTTCCGTCGGTGGCATATTCTTCTCGGGCAATATAAGATGCCTAAACGATACGGGCAGCTGTGTTTCGGCGCCTATCCAGCGATCGGAAACAATGCGCAGAAAATATTGTGGTGGCAATGGCTCGAAAACGGGCACAAAGAACTTCAGCTGATGCTCATCCTGTGCGTATTTCTGTTTCAGCAAGAAGAATTCATGATGCAGTATCAGCTCCGAGTCCACATCCTCAATCAGTACCCAGAAACCTTCCGATTGCCCATGCACCTTTTCATCCCATTGAAAATCGGGCGTTATTGTGAGCTCTACACGGAGCGTTGCTCGCGTTATGGGCTGGATGTGCGTAGATAGCTCAAGTTTGGGAAACTGATGCACGAACTTGTGTATCGTCTTGCCCAGCTTGGGCACGCGTATCAATTCGCCCAGCTCATGCGGTTCCAGATCGTACAAGCGCGACCAGGGAAAGTGTTTCTTTTCCAGCTTCTTAGCGATTTCGTCGGGCATCTTTTTGAATTGGCGCAACGGCGTCATCGATTGCCACATGCGACGATCAATCATCTTGCAAAGCGTCAGCGTTTTATCCGCCAACTGGGCCCAGCCACGAGTCAGCACAATTTCGAAGATGGCACGCATCAGACGCGCAGCGGATTGTGTGATAAACACCATGTCGGACATCAAGGCAAAGCCCTCCAGCTTAAGCTGAGAGATGTAGGCCTGCAGCAGCACATTCACTTTGGCGCTATGTTCCTCAATTGACTCCTTGATGGGTATCGGCACACGCTCCATAAGCTTCTGCAGCTCAAGTTTCTCCTCCTCACGCACAGAGATGTGACGGAACTCCGACGACAAAGAGAACACACGAAATAGCTCAATTTCGCTTAGAGTTTGCTTTAGCAACTGATTGTAGGTCAGCATTGTCTCGTGGGTCAGATAGTAGTGAGATGCAATGCGGCCGAGATCGGTGACCTGGAAGTGTCCCGTCTTGCGCTCGTATTTGATTAAGCCACTGCGTTCCAGGCAACAGGCAGCTGTATGCAGCAAATCTGCGCGATGCTGCTCCAGAAGCGGATCTGCTTTAATCGCATCGTGCGAAACGCCATACAAGGTGGGATTACGTAGCATGCGTATGTAGAGGTAAGTATAACCCAGCCAATTGACTGCATCCTGTAGATGTTGCACGGTGCCGAGCACAATCTCAGCGTTCAACATGTCCGGCAGCTTGGAAACGAACTGCGATTCAATGGGAAGCTGCTGATTGAGCAGCGAGAGATAAAACTGCAGCTCACTGTGATTCGTAATAAGTATGCCCTCGCCCTTGGTATCATACTGTGGACGACCTGCACGGCCCAACATCTGCAGCACATCCAAGGCGCTCAGCTCGACCCAACGGCCCTTCTCCGGATTGTACACTTGTGTGCCTTTGATGATAACCGTGTGCGCGGGCAAATTGACACCCCAGGCCAAGGTAGCTGTCGACACCAGCACTTGAATATGCCTATCAGCAAAGAGATCTTCAACTAGCGTACGATCCACGCGCGTCATGCCAGCATGATGTATGGCAAATCCATAGGGCAGCAATTCCTTTAGCTCTGTATTCTTCACCTGCTCCGCCTCGGTACGCAACACTTCCATGCTGGCCGATCCCTCGCGTAAAAAGCTGCCAAGCGTGTCCTGTTCGAGGCACATGTCACGCACTGCACGCGCCGTTTTGCCTGTCTCTTTGCGTGAGTGCACAAAGACGAGCACTTGATTGCGACCAGCATGCTCCATTGTCTTCTCATACACTATCTCGTTCATGACCTTTGTAGGAGAGTAGTGATTAAATAAACTGAACTTTACTTTATAGAGGTTACGACATACCTGGAAACGCTTCAATGCCTTCTTCTCGGTCACACCAATGTACTGTTGTTCGAGAGCTACGGGTCGATAGCTGTTGTCAAAGTAGAAGAGACCCTTGTCGGGCTTCACACGCAGAAATGTAGCCACATCCTGGTAGTTTGGCAGCGTGGCAGACAGGCCAACCAAACGCACATCCTCCTGCGTGGTCTCAATGTTGCGTATGGTACGTGCCACCAATGCCTCAAGCACCGGTCCACGCTCGTCGTGCAACAAATGGATCTCATCAATGATGACCAAACGCACCAGACTCACAAATGTGCGTTCCCCACCTTTTCGTGTAATAATATCCCACTTCTCTGGCGTGCAGACAATCACCTGTGTTGCAGCAATTTGCTCACGCGTAAGCTGATGATCACCCGTCAATTCAGAGACAGTAAGATTGTAGCAGGCAAGGCGACGTCCGAAGTTTCCTACCATTTCCTGTACCAGTGATTTCATGGGTGCCACATAGATGATCTTGAAATCTTGTGCATTGATGGTGCCATCCTCATTTATGTGCTTGCCAATCTCCCGCATCATCGTGAGCAGGGCTACATTCGTTTTACCAGCACCTGTTGGCGCACAAAGCAGCATATTTTCATCGCTATCCAAAGCTGCTTTATAGAGCCGGCTCTGAATGCGATTCAAAGTCTTAAAGCCATCGAACACTGGCTGCACATACTTGGGCAGTTTGTCAATCGGCTGCAGCTCCTCGTCTGCCTCGAATGCTACTTGCTTTAGAGCAGGCACATGTACCTCCTCATAGCCTTTACGCTGTTTGCGATAGCTGCCATCGGGTAACTGGCAACGCTTGTTGGCCATGAAATGCGAGCCCTGGGTAAAGGCTAGCTCATCCAATTCCAACAGTTGTCGTACACCAGCAACTTGACCAGCAGCCGCGGCGCCGCCATCGTCGGCATCGCCTTTGCCACGTTTGTTGGCTCGCGCATCCGCCTCCTCCTGCTCATCGGCCTTGCCAGTGTCGAGTTGACGTAGGATTTTGGCTAGCGCCGTATTGCCTCGCATCTTTTCACGAATACGCTGCCTTTCGCTATCGGTTTGTGCAGAAGCTAGCATGGTACAATAAAGTATCATCTGGCGATTTAGTTTCAGTTGCTTAATGAAGTCAAAGCAATCGTAGCCCAGCAGCAAAACCAACTGATTCTCACAGTCGCGTTCGTCGGCGGCATCTTTTAGTATCTTGAGAACATCAGCGGCCTTACTCTGTGAGACCATCGCATCCTTGTAGTACTTGCTGAGACAGCGCTGCAGCCAGTAGGCATCAATATCGAGCGGATGTAGCAAGCGATCCTTTTTTACATTACTAGCCGCCTCTTCGTTAGCTAGCTGTAAATTAAAATAATAAATGTTAGTTTTTATAGATGAAGAATACAAGCAATTTACATTTTCGGCATGCAGGGTGTGATCAATGCGCGCTTCTTCGCCTTCATCTTGTACGTCATCATCGCGTATCTCGCCATACATGTCATTGTCACTCTCCTCTTCGGACTCCTCGAATTGTACGTTGATGCCGTAAGTATCATCTATCTGTTCATCATTGTTGGTAGCTGCTGTTAGAGCATTTACTGCATCACTGCCGAAGTCGGTGATTTTCTTGCCAAGATTAACGAGCAATGCGAAACGTTCATCAGTCACTTCACCAAGCAAGCTGTCTACGTCTCGTTTGCGTTCGCGGTCTTTCAGTCGCTCATTCTTAAGCACAGCCAAAATTTCATCTGCAGCACCGCACAAAATATCGCGTGGCTGATCACCCAATGCCTCCTGTATGAAACTCAGTAGCACTTCGTAGGTCTGACGGGTCTCCTGCGTCTTAGGTCGATAGACAATGCCTACCATCTCATCAATACCCTCCGATAGCAATGTGGCGCCCTTCATGCGCTCAAAATCATACTGTGCCTCATCACGTTTTTGGCGCTTTACTTTGCGCTCCTCCGTTTTTTCCGGCTTTGTACGCTGATAGCGATCACCCATGCGAGTGCCATCTAATTTGCCAACCAAAGAGCACACCTCGCCAGTGGCTTCATCTCGACGCGGACGCTCGATTAGACGTACATCAGCTTGCAGCACAAGATTCGAATTCTATAAGGGAAACAAACACAAATTAACAAACATTTTTCGGCAAACGTTTACCGCATGTGGCGGCACTTTTTTCCTAACTATTTAAAAATACTTACCGCCTTGTACTCGTACTGCAATTGACGTGCTGCGGCATCCGCCATATTTGTTTAGTTCTTTATTAACGTAATAAGTGCTGAAATAACTTAATTTTATAATTTTAAAGCGGTAAAAATATTTTCCTTTTTCGCTGTTTATTGGCTGGCTATGAGATAGTGCTGCATTCGATTCGATATAATAAGCCGACTTTGACATCGATATTTGGTATTTATCGATGTTAGCTATTGCTGTGCTTTTTTTTCTCAACACTGGTTTTGCTTTCCGCTTTGGTCACACTCCATTGAAACACAGAAGTAAACAAAACAAAAGTTCTCGCTCTCTTGAATTTGTAATTTATTGAGCTGCAAATCGATAAGCAACTCAGTTGCATTGCGATCTCGTTAGTGAGTGGATCGTCGGCAGGATCAAGCAATTTGAAAATAAAACTCATCAAAATGCTGTCGCTACCAAGCACCGATCAGGACCTGCGCTGTCCTGGTTTCTGCGATTGTCGCTTTCCCAGCTGCATTGATATAGCCAACCACAAACGAAACATTCCTGATCTGGTCACGTGTTGCTGTGGAGAGGACAGTGGGAATGGTCTGCAGTGGCAGTGGCATCAAGCGGAAGAATCCGATGCCCAAGTCATTGGCAGAGATATCGTCTTCCATCCCACCTACAGTCAAGGCACGGCCATTGTGCGTGGCGAACAGCCGCTGCAGCAGGACAAAGTTCACTTCTGGGAGATGCGTGTTATTACGGTGCTGGCTGGTACTGATGTGGTAAGTTCTAGTGCATGGGCAACTGCATCAGAAGGGATTAAAATAGCTAGCGAGATAAGCGACACTTTAGAAGATAAGACAGCTGAAGCGCACTTGACACAGTCAGCCATTCTCTCGGCATGAGGGAATCTGTGGTGCATAGCTCGTAACAGAACGAGTGAGAACTGATAAGAAACTTGTATTCCTACTTTAAGCCGCCCTCCCGTTTCTGAAAAGGTCAATGCAAACGTAATTATTCCACTTGGTTACTATTTGTCAGCCCCTCTCTCTCTCTTATGTTTTCTAGATGTTTGGCATAGGCACCGGTAGCGTTAATCTGGAACAATTCAAATTCCATTTCGTCTCTGCCCTGGGCACTAATGCCCAATCCTGGGGCTACTCCTACAACGGTAAAATCCAGCATTGCGGTGATCAGTTGCCGTATGGCCAAAAGTTTTCTCAGGGCTGTTTGGTGGGCATCTATCTGGATCGCACGCGTGGCCATTTGGAATTCTTTTTGAATCGTCGCTCCCTAGGCGTGGCCTACACGAACATACCAACAGATCCACATGTCAAAATCTATCCGATGGTCTGCTCCACAGCTGCCAGGTCTGTCATCCGCTTGATTAACTCCACCTCACAACCAGCGACGCTACAGCTGCGCGCATTCGAATCACTTGCCAAGCAGCCGCAAAAACTCGATGAACTGCGTCAAATGCCTGGCCTGAAAAGCATTATGCAATCCTATTGGTTTCTAGCGCCACCCGTACGCTATTCCAGATGCTCTACAAATCTGGACTTGGACTTAGGAGACGAGGCGGTGCTATCAAGCTCCAAGCTACGTTTGGGCCGAAAACAAAAATATAGAGGTAAGCTCATTAACTGTTTATACCAGTTGCCGATAAGAGTATTGCTTCAAAAGTTAATCATGCTTAAGGAAATCATTTCGAATTATGTCGAGTAATTTGCTCTATTTACAACAAATATTTGAGAAATATATAAACAAATAGAACGCCTTATCTCTTGTAATTTAATTTGACAGCTCGAGATAAACGCAGCTAAAGTATATCAAATGTACTTTTCTCGAAAGCTTCTCTAACTGAACTACATTAGAATATAATACAAATATATATTTATATTTATATATATATATATATATTTATAAATAATATATGTATACTTAATTATATATAAATATATTTGTGTCCGTGTAGCCCTTCAATAATCTAGACTTCTTCAAGCTCTGACCTAGATACTTGCCCATGTCTGTCTGCAGCTTGTTGTCTACGCCCTTAGACAATTGGCATTCAATTGAACATATATAATTTTTCAGAGACCGATGATGTCAGTATCGATGAGGATCTATATGCGAACGCGCACAAAATTCCAGTGCGGCGCAACGACAGCGGCGATGAGGAATATGCCTCATCCATTCACGAGTTCTGTGATGAATATTTTTACAATTTGTTATAGCTGGAGGATATCGGCTTTGAACTTATTACATATATATTTATATATATATAATTTTTTTTGCATTTCCTACAATTACAATGTATTTTTTATATGCTGTTGCAAATACTCTTTTGTTGTTTTTTTGTATGTTTTGTAAATTCCAGTATATTTGTTTTTGTTTTTCTATAAAGACAGTCTGGATTATTTAGGACAGACTGTGGATTTATTTAAAAAGTATTTGCTTTAAATATATATGAATATATCATTGTTTTTTTGTATGTGCGAAAAACTGTAGAAAGTTTCATTATTGCAATGCTGCGTGGGATTGGGATGCTCGGGGCTGTGGTGCTTGGGGTAGGTAGGTTGAACTGAGTTGGGGTGTGGCTAAAAGAACTTAAAATAAACTAAATGTTAGTTGAATTCGGCACCGTTCGATGCGCGCTTGAAAATGACGCCCAGTGGCAGCTAGTCCATGTCATCGTCATCATCATCCGAAATTGTGTACTTCTTTTGAGCGCGCTTCCGACGCGTTTGTTTCTTGGATGTGGTCGCTGCACCACTGGCCACCGAGGCAGCTGTTGAGGATTGTGTGGGCGTGGATGGTGCACTGGCCAGCGATTTGTTAAGTTTCAGCTTCATTTTAACTGCCGCCGCAGATGTGGTGGCTATCTCCTCATCATCCGAACCATCATCACCGTCGTCGCCATCATTATCTGAATCATCAGAAACACCTGCGCCACCTCCATTCCCATGAGCATCGCCAGTATTTTCGCCTGCGGCCACAGCAGACGCATCGGCTGCTGCTGTTATCCTTTGCCTCGCACCGACAAAAATCTTCTGCAACGCTATGGAATCGAGATAAATGAGCGACGCCTCCTCATTGTAGATTTGCGCATTCTGGCAGAGCTGCATAAAGTCCTTTTCCAACTCATTGAGATCTGCATATTTACAGTCCTCGATGCGCTGCAGTATTTTCTTAATGTCTACCGGTCGCTTGATAATATCATAATAGTCGGGCAGTCGCTGACGCGAGGGTAGCTTCATAAATGGCTCTGACAGCGTGCGACCATCCTGTGTGTGCTTGATGACCGCGCTCATAATCTTGTGCATTTGCTTCTTGGAGCGTTTGTCTAAGTTCTGGCGGCGTCTGCGCTTCAATATAAGCGAATCATCATCGGACTCATCTTTGCGATTCTTGCGCTTGCGACGTTTGCGCTTAGAGTCGTTATCCTCTTCCTCCTCTTCATCAAATTCAGCGCCATCATCGATAGCCTTCAGCCACTCCTTTTCGGTCAAGCTGTCCGTATAGTCAACTTCCTTGCGCTGTCGTGATCCGCGACCTACGAATTTAAGTAACAGAATTAGTTTACGATAATTGCTTTAGATGTAAATATATATCTACTTACCCAATATGGTATCCTCATCATATTGATAATGGAAACGCTCCACCTCGTCGTCGTCCTTGGTCAGCCAGTCGGGTAGCTCGGACTCATCGATTAGACGCTCTCTACCCGGGTGAATATCCTCATCTTCTTTCTTGCGTTCAATATCCATTTTCTTGAAGATTTCAATTTCTTCCTCACTGCGCGCTATCATCATATTAATCATTTCATCATCTGGGACTTCGTTCTCCTCCTCCTCCTCATTGTCGTCCTGATGCAAAATTGTTTGCAGGAATTGCTGACGCTCACTGCCCGTGGACTTCTGATCGAACATGCCCGCCTGAATGACTTTCTCGTCCATGTTTAGCTTGTATCGAGCCGCGGCCAAAATGCGCTCCTCAACCGAATTGACCGTCATGAGACGCAGCACACGCACCTCATTCCGCTGACCGATACGATGAGCACGATCCTGTGCCTGCAGATCCTGATGCGGATTCCAATCGGAATCGAAAATAACAACTGTGTCGGCTGTCTGCAAATTCAAACCGAGGCCACCAGCGCGTGTGGACAGCAAGAAGACAAAATAATCGGAGCCCTTCGCATTGAATTTACGCAGCAATTCGCCACGATCCTCGGCCTTGGTGGTACCATCCAGACGCAAGTAGCCAAACTGGCGCCAACCGAGGTAATCCTCAATAATGGTCATGCACTGGGTCATCTGACAGAAGAGCAACACACGATGATTGGTTGCTTTCAGCTTGGGCAAGATGCGATCCAGCAGCTCAAATTTACCCGACACACGGTATAGATCAGGCCCTGCAAAGTAAGGCAAGTGTTAAATGGAACTGCATAGAAGAATATATACGGAAATATTTACCTGAAACAACGCCGTGTCCTCCAGTATGATCGCAGTACTTCTCCTCGATGTGCTGGAACATGAATGGATGATTGCAAAGCTTACGCAGCTGAACGATGGTGTTCATCAGAGCCTTGGCCCCGCCCTTGCCATGCTTGCCCTTCTCAGAGCCATCGGTGAGCAGGACACCCTTGCTCTGCATGTGCTTGTAGAGGACACGCTGCAACGCGGACATATCGCACTTGATAATGTACTCGACCTTGTCCGGCAGCTGATGCTCCACCTCCTTTTTGAGACGACGCAGCAGGAAAGGACGCAACACTTTGTGTAAACGTCGAATGATCAAAATGGTTTCCTCCTCATTCAATTCAACCTTCTCGCCAGTGGTGGCGAATGGCGCATTGAACCACTGCTCAAAAGTGGAGCACGACTTGAAAATTGAAGGTAGCAAAAAGTTAAGCAGTGCCCAGAGCTCGGGCAGCTTGTTCTGTAGTGGTGTACCCGTAAGGAGCAGCCGATAAGGCGCTATGTAATGCGTATTGAGCACCTGCGTCAATTTGCAATGATGATTCTTCATGCGATGGCCCTCATCGATAATCATATACTTCCATTGTATCTTGGCCAAAACCGCTTTGTCCTTGATCACATACTCGTATGTGGTCAGCAGCACATTAAATTTGGTGGCTCGCATTTGATTCTGGAGCAGACGTCGACCCTGTGGACTGCCCTTATAGCTAACGACGCCGACGGAAGGCGCCCACTTCTCAAACTCTAGCACCCAATTGGGCAGCGTAGAGAGTGGTACAATGATTAGGTATGGACCCATAACCTTTTTGCGATCCATTAAATAGGTGACCAGAGAAATCGTTTGGATGGTCTTGCCCAGACCCATCTCATCGGCCAAAATGCCATTCAAATTGTTATTGTAAAGCGAAACCAGCCATTCGAGACCCTTCAACTGATACTCCTTCAGCTGACCGTTGACCATGATGCTAGCCTGCTCGAAGACCTTCTCGTGCACGGTGTGCGCAATGCTGTAGTATGTCTGCTCCTCCGTACGATACTCATCGTCCTCCACTTTAACTTGATTCATCAGGTCATTGGCACCCGCGTCGCCTGGCTGCGCAGATTTATCTGTCACATCCTCAGATCCCTCGGCAGCAGCGTTGCGCTCCAATTGCGGCTGTTCCTCTAGCTTTGGTTTTGGCTTCTTCTCGGGCGACTCGTCATTGTCATCATCATCGTCGTCAATCCAATCCCAACCCGGGTGCATGTTAAGCCAGCGATGTAAATGCTTAAGCATGGGTGCATCATCTCCGGTTAGCTTCTTGCCGCTGCACTGCTCCACCACATGGACGCGCATGTCGGCCGCAATACTGCTCTCATCAATGTTGACATATTCGCCGCTCATGAGCAGCTCCTTTTTGTATTGCTGCAGACGTTTGCCCTCCTCCTCCTTCTTCTTCATCTGATCGTCCTTATGCTGCTTCACCATCTGTGTGAGATTGCTAATATACTCGTCTGTCTGCGACAGCAGGAATGCCAAACGTTTGTCCTTCTTTTGATCAATCAGCTTGCGATAGCCCTCCTCATCCTCAGCCATCAAGCGCCGCATACGCTCCTTCTCAATGCGCTCCTGTTCCTTCTTCTGTTCGCGTTCCGCATTCGCATGGTAGTTCATCACCGACTTGTTCATGCGCGCCAGCTGAGCCTGCAAATGGATAGTCAAGACTTAGTCAGAGCTTCAGAAATATCTTATTTTGTACTCACCTTGTTGTTGCGATGATATTCACGCAGATCCTTGCCATGCTGCAGCACAGCAGATAAGAACTCCAGATGCTTCTGCCTGCGTTTACGTTCCGCCTCGAGCTTTTGTTGTTTCTCCAGCTTCTCGGTGGCGCGTGCCTCTCGCAAGCCTTGGCGCTTGGTACGCTTGTAGAACTTCATATTGATGGCCGTTTCCAGAGTAGTGTCTCGCCTGGTGCACTGTACGATTTCCATACGCAGCTGGCGCTGGAAATTCAGAACACGCAATGCCCGCAACTCAATGGCGGCCTGCAGACGTAGATCCTCGGACATGGTAGCAGGCAGACGTTGCAGTTCCTGCATGCGCAACGAAATGCGAGCGGCAATGCGATTCTCGCGCTCTTGCAGCAACGTTATGGGATCGAGACCCACCGGTTTGGCCACAGTGGTTACGCGGTTCGGCTTGGCCATCGGCTGCTGTTGTCCAGGCGGCGCACCCGGCCGTGGTGGCCCCGGAGGCACCACCTGACTGCCGGGCAGACATGGAGCTGCGGGCCGTATGCCCTGCGCCTGCATGGGCGTGGCTGGTATCAGCGGCGGTCCGCCAGCAGGGCCCATGGCCAGCGGCTTACCGCCATTGTGTTGCTGATGCTGCATTTGCTCATGCGGTGGCTGCTGCTGCTGCTGTTGTTGTTGCTGTTGCTGCTGCTGCATTTGTTGCTGCTGCTGTTGTTGTTGCTGCTGCTGCTGTTGCTGCTGCTGCTGTTGCTGCTGCTGCTGTTGTTGCTGCTGTTGCTGTTGAAGCTGCTGTTGGTGCTGCTGGGGCGGTGGTGGTGCGCCGCCAATTAGTGGAGGCTGTGGCTGCAACGGTTGCCCCTGCATATGCGGCGGAGGCGCTGGCTGCATTTTCTGACCAGGCCCAGGCGGCCCATATGGACTAGCTGGTGGCGTGGAACATTGCGGCGGTGTGCCCGTTGAGGGCGGTTGTTGCGCCTGCATAGGTTGCGGACCCGCATGCGGCCCACCCGGTGGCGGTCCACCCGGCATACCCGGTGGTCCAATGGGTTGTGGCGGTTGTTGTTGCTGTTGCTGCTGCTGCTGCTGCTGCTGTGCCGCCTGCAGTGCCTGCTGCATCTGCATGGAAATGGGCTTGTTGCGCGCCAGCATCCGATAGGCAGTAATCTGTGTGCGCAGCAGATTTACCTGATTGCCATTAAGATGCTGATGCTTGGAGGTGGCGCGCATGGCCAAGAGTTGTGAATAACGTGGATCCTCCTGCAGACCCTTCTCCTCCATCGAGTCAATGGCGCGCTGCAAAGCATGTAGATTCTCTTGGCCAGAACGTTCGGGCGGGCCACCGGGCGGACCACCAGGCGGACCCTGACCAGGCTGCGGCGGACCCTGCAAAGATATACAAGTTTTATGAATCCAAATGTGCTAAGAATAACAATCCAGTGCAAGCCAGAGCATTCATGTGGCGACTTCCCAAATACAGAATTTCTAGCTTGTTTTCAATGTGCAAGGCAATTAGACAGAAAGCTTTTGGTATCTCTCGACGTTGAGCGATTCTGTAGCCACAAATGAAATGAGTGAGAAACCCGTTTCGACTACTCAGTGCACGTTCAGTTCTCGAGGGCAGCTGACGACGCATCCACAACCCAGACTCGAAAGCAAACAATGTCAAACAAAAGCGATATCGATGAGCTATACGAGTTCATCTATCCGCTGGCTGTTAGAGCAGGTGAAATACTGTACGAAGGCTATCAAAATGCGGGCAAAAAGGTTACGCTGAAGCGTAACGAGTTTCACAACGTAGTCACCGACTACGACAATGAAATAGAAGAGTTTCTGATGGACAGCATACTCGCCAGCTATCCGGAGCATAAGTTTATTGGCGAAGAGGATACGCACAAGAACAACAATATAACGAAGGAGCTGACGGATGCACCCACCTGGATCATAGATCCCATTGACGGCACCTCCAATTTCATCAAGCAAATACCACACGTATCAGTGTCCATAGGACTCTCAATTAATAAGCAAATTGTGCTGGGAGTTGTGAATAATCCAGCCCAGGGCAAGCTCTACTCGGCGAAGCTGGGACAGGGCGCCTTCTGCAATGGTCAGCCGATACATGTGAGCAATTGTGAGCGTCTGAATGATGCTAACGTTGCCTATGAGGTGTGCTTGCTGCACGAGCCGAGGATAAGGAACAAGCACATCAAACGCATCTACTACGTGGGCTCGCAGGCGAGACGGTGCGTTGAGCTCATGGCTAATCACTTAAAGCAATCGAATCTGCACTCAATATATCTTTCTGCGTCTGCTATTTAGCTTGCTTGGCTATTCGGCTGTGGTGGACTCCCTTTGCATGGTCGCCGCTGGCAATTTGGATGCCTTTCACATTGAGGACATGTATCCCTGGGACTGTGCCGCGGGCTATTTGCTAATACGCGAAGCCGGCGGCGTTGTTACCCATCCCTATGGCGGAGCCTTTGACATTATGAAGCCAGATTTGATATGTGCCGGCACAGAGGCACTGAGATTGCAAATTGAAACTCTTATACGCAAGGCAGATCAAGCCAAGTCTGTGGGAAGTGGAGAGGATATTTGAATGTAAACTTGGGCTAAAGTATTGTTGATTTTTGATTCGTAAACCTGATATGCGTATATATGAATTACAGGTTAAAATAATTACTCCTCTTTACGAATCAACTCATTGTTTTGCTTAACTTTAAGTTGCCTTAACTTTTAACTTCATGCTTAGTTAGCTAACAATAAATTTAACTTGAAATTATGACACATTCGTATAATAAAGTTTCCACTCCCCATCAATTGCGATTCAGCTTTTAGAAGGCATTCTAAAAATATATCCAAAATAAAGTTCAAATTCCTAACTGCCTTCTTTAAATACCCTATATTTTACATTATGTAGCTTAATTGAAGTCCGAGCTCTTATCAACTGACACAAATTTACTTTGTCTGTAGCTTAACAATTTTACAGCTTTAAAAGGAGATGTTGACATGGTAATCAAGTCGTAGATTAAACTTATCTTTTATTCTTGTCTATCATCTCGTACAGGCCTAATCACAAACCAGCGATACCTCTTCCACATGACTCTACGCTTTGTAAAAGTTCAAAGTTTCGCGTCGACCAGAGCTTTCTGACAAAGCTTTGTAAAGCTGTTTGGTCGCAACTCAATTAGATATAAAAATTTCAGTGGTTAGCATCAGTTTGTCGAGTGCAAAGCAGGAAAAATGTGCTCAATTTGTGAGTCGAAATTGAAGGAGTATTATGAGGTGGCGCTGGACTTGGTGAAGCAATGCGGCCCTATGCTGATGGAGGGTTATAGGAAGCCCAAAGCAGATTTTACGGTTAAGAAAGATTTCTATGATCTGGTCACTGTGTACGACAAGCAGATTGAGGACTTCCTTACGAAGGGTTTGCAAACTGCCTTTCCCGAGTCTCTGATCATTGGTGAAGAGGATTCGGCAGCTAACAAACGTCAAGCGGAGTTAACTGATGCGCCCACCTGGATCATTGATCCCATTGATGGCACTACAAATTTCGTACATCGCATACCGCATTGCTGCATTTCGGTGGGTCTGGCCGTGCAAAAGGAGCTCGTCATTGGCATTATCTATAATCCGCCGGCGAATGAATTATTCGCGGCTTATAAGGGACACGGCGCCTACCTAAATGACCAGCGCATACACACATCCAAAGTGACTACGGTAAGTGTTCTCATTATCTAGCTGCCAAAAAAAAAACCTACAATCATCGTGACAGCAAACAAATATCAGTATGTATGGCAACATTTTTAATTTGATGTTTGCATGCACCTGCAAATCATAAACAAGACTTTACGGTAAACATATTGCGATTCTCAATCACAAAGCTTTTTTTCTGCTTTAGATAAATCAAGCTGTAATTGCCCTAGAAATCTCACTCATACATGCAGCCGCTGTTAGAGACAAGAATATCAAACGACTTTATAAGTTAGGCTCAAATGCCACAGCGTAAGTAAAAAGCATAAGAGAATGAGAGACAAAGAGAGAGAGTGGAAAAAGTACTCAAACTTTGCACTTTACAGCACGCGCAGCTTTGGCAGCGGGGCTCTTGCTCTTTGCTATGTGGCAACGGGACAATGCGATGCCTATCACATCGATGATCTGCAGCCCTGGGATATCGCAGCTGGCGCTGTTATACTGAAAGAGGCGGGTGGCTCTATATACCATACCAAAGGCGGCAAATTCAATATTATGAAGCCCGATTTGGCATGCGCCGGCACAGAAGAGCTGGCCAAGAATGTAATTAGCCTCATTGCAGAGGCTGATAAAATAACTGAATATACATTTAAGTAAATGATATGTAAATGAATATTTTAAAGCTCAGACAAAGATCAAATTCAAGTAAATGATATAATAATTATGAATTTATGTTGTTTAAAATTAAATAAAACTAAACAAATTCATATTTAAAAATAGAAAACTTGAAGAATGTGTGGCTAAATCAACGAACATCTTGAGAAAATTTACAGTAAAATGAATTTAAGCTTGCGTGGGCAAAGGTCACAAACAGATGAAGTAACCAAATATTTTACAAAAGAATTATCTTTATATATATTATATCATATCCGTCAGTCGAAACTAGTTTCATTCTGCAAATACTTCGACTACCCTGCACGTCAGACACATGTATGTTAAAGATAATGAAATGTCTATTTGTAGTTGTCAAATGCGATAAAACGCAAGCAACAGATTTCAATTGTCAGTTCATCTTTGGAACTCTCTGTCATCATATAATATTTCATTGCAAGTATTTTTATTGAGCGCATCAAAATACTCAAAATAAACAAATGCGAGAGCGCGTTAAAACCAAGCGAGCATCACAGTCCGGTTCAGTCGGTAGCTGATGTCTGTGGAGTAACAACGCCTACCGCTAGTAACAAGTCTAAGCCTCAGCCAGCTACCAATATGTTAACGCAAATTGAGGAGTTGTATAACTTCATTTACCCGCTAGCGAAAAAGGCTGGCGATATACTGATCGAGGGCTACAATCGAGCGGAGAAGCACGTGGACATTAAGGGTGCATTCTATGATGTGGTCACCGACTATGACAACAAAATCGAGGAGTTTCTGATGGGCGAGATCTTGGCCAAATATCCGCAGCATAAGTTCATTGGCGAGGAGGATACGGCCAAGAATAATAATGTATCTAAAGAGCTGACTGATGCGCCCACCTGGATCATCGATCCCATCGACGGCACCTCCAATTTCATTAAACAAATTCCACATGTTTGCGTCTCAATCGGGCTTTCAATCAATAAGCAAATCGTTCTGGGCATTGTAAATAATCCAGCCCAGGGCAAGCTCTACACAGCGAAGCTGGGGCAAGGCGCCTTTTGCAATGGCAAGCCCATTCATGTGAGCAATTGTGAGCGTTTGCGGGATGCCAATGTGGCCTATGAGGTGTCCCTGTTGCATGTGCACAATGTGGCTAACAAGCACATCAAACGAATCTACCATGTGGGATTGCATGCCAGGCGGTAAGTTAGCCAAGCTAAAAATATTTGACTACATTTAACAGTGTCGCCTTCTGCTCTGCTCAGCTTGTTGGCCTACTCCTGCGTTGTGGATGAGCTGTGCATGGTGGCTGCCGGCAATTTGGATGCCTTTTATATTGAGGATATGTATCCTTGGGACTGCGCCGCTGGCTCGTTGTTGGTGCACGAGGCTGGTGGAGTAGTCACGCATCCTTTTGGAGGACCTTTTGACATTATGAAACCGGATTTAATTTGTGCCGGCACCGAAAAGTTGCGCAAAGAAATTGAGAACCTGCTTCGCAAAGCCGATCAGGAACATTCCGTTGGCGGCACTGATCCTTAGAATCTACAGAAAATATATTTATGAATAAAACCCGTTCAACAAAGAAAGCTTCGTACACTGTTCTGACGAAAAAGCTCAAATAATTGTTTAGTTGTTATCTGCGTTACTGCAAAGCTTCTTGAAAGCAAAAGCTCTATTAGCTTTTTGATCAAAATAGTAGATAAACTAACGGAGCTGATTAGTTGTGCTATAGACAGCAAATCTTACTGTAAGTCTCACTTTACGATCGCTCTAGCATGGACAGGCAAATATTTACTTGCTTATGTGTTTTAGCATTTTTACAACTTGTGAACATGACCCACGATACGAGGGAAACAAAGATTAAGGAGTACTATGATGTTGCGCTGGACTTGATTACCAAATGCGGTCCCATATTTATGGAGGGCTATAATAAAGCCAAGAAGGAGGTCATGGTAAAAGACGCCTTTTTTGACTTCGTCACCGTCTACGATCAACAAATTGAGGAAAAACTAACCGAGGGTCTGTTGAAAGCATTCCCGGAATCAGTTTTTATAGGGGAGGAAACCTTGGCTGGTAAAAAGAAGTTGCCAGATCTGACAGATGCACCTACATGGATCATAGATCCTATTGATGGCACCACCAACTACATACACAGGCTGCCTCATTGCGGTATTTCGGTTGCTTTGACTATTGATAAAGAGCTGGAGATAGGCATTATCTATAATCCGGTAGCCAATGAGCTATTCTCGACCAGGAAAGGTCATGGCGCCTTTCTAAATGGCGAACCTATTCAAGTTACCGCCGCAACTGAGGTTTAAACACCATATCAATAACTGAAAAGCAGATCGTATTAAGAATTTTTGATTTTTTAGATGTCTAGTGCAGTGGTTGGACTTGAAATTACGCTGATTAATGTGCCTCAATTGCGTGATAGAAGTCTCAAACGTGCCTATAAGCTGGGCTCTTTTGCTGCTGGGTAAGCTATGATAGAGCTATATAATATATATAATAATATATATATGTAATTATATATATTCATATATAATTATACTTTCTATTGTCTATTTATAAAACAGCACGCGATGCTTGGCTAGCGCTGCATTGTCTCTAGCGTATGTAGCAAAGGGCACATTGGATGTCTATCACGTGGATTACTTAAAGCCTTGGGATGTAGCTGCTGGCGTTTTGCTTGTGCGTGAGGCCGGCGGTGTGGTACACAATACGAATGGTAGCGCTTTCAATGTGATGAAACCAAATCTTGTCGCAGCCGGCACAGAGCCGCTTGCTCAGTCGGTAATACAACTGATCGAACAGGCGGATCATATGAGGGAATACAAATTCACTTAGCTATGAACTAAAATTCTGCACTTACATTGGGCGGCATGCCGTGCTGATAGCCAAGTGGCGACATATTCGGTCCAGTTGGTGGCATTTGCATGCCCATATGCGGGGCTGAAAATAATTTGAGCAGTTATTAAATGTGTTAACAGAATTATTAACGAATTTTGCGCATACTCATGCCCTGATGATGCGGTGGCATATGGTGTACTGGAGGACCCTGTCCAGGTGGTCCATGCTGCATGGGATGGCCGTACGGTCCAGCTGGATGACCCGGCGGTGGAGGCCCCTGCATGTGGGGTGCACCGGGCGGTGGTCCTTGTGGCGGTCCTTGGGGCGGCTGGTGCGGATAGGGACTGTGCGGCGAGGGCGCAGGACTCTGAGATGGCGGTGCCATGGGGCTGGGTGCTTGCGGTGGCGGCATCGGACTATTCGCCGGCGAGGGCGAGGCCATTTCGCTGCGGTTTATGTGTGTTCGTTTTGCACTGGATTGGCCGTTAAAATGCTAGCTAAAAAGTTGTGCAAATATAAAAATACGGTATATTCGCTTAAATGTTAGCATTTCATTGCTCTACGTTTTGCGCAAAGTCCATTTAAATGTATATAAACTGTATATGTAATCGGTTTTTGGCTTTTGTTGCTCTCTCTCCCTCACCGCACACACTTTATTTGCACATGTCTTGAAATTCTTATAAAAAGCATCGTTAGCGCTTATCTTAAGCGTCCCTGGTATTCGTCATATTGTCAGGCACCATATTGCACAATATTTAGACCGAAATTTTACCTATTTGCACAATTTGAATGAGTTTTAGGTCTCTCGATTTTCACACTTTTTATTTGACGATAGACGCGACAATGGCGGACGTCTCTGTATAACAAAATAAAATCTGTGGCAACCCTATGCACCGGCAAAAACTGGCTGCGTTCAGCTTAACAATTTTCATTGCAAAATTCTTTCAGAAGAACGTAACATATTCTTAAAAATTAGAAAATTATATATATTTTTTATAGCAACTTAAGAGTTAATTATTAAATTCATTATTTTTAATAAAAATATTTTTGTTGTGCTGAACGTATGCTATGACACGTCATGTTTACGTCACCGGTGAATGGCAGAATTTTTGTCATCTAGTGAAAACAAGAGCAGAATTTCGTTGGAGAAGCGAAATAACATAATTAGTTAGTTATTATTAATACTTAAGCATTTAGAGGCACTTAGTACGCTGCAATCGAGCTTTAATCATGGGTAGGTTATCCCCTGCAATGGTAGCACATCTCACCGTCAATTTATGATACTCGTTTATCTCGTCTGTCGCCTGTCATTAAAGTCACCACCTCTTAATTTTTTTCTTACATATATTCTTGTATTGCAGGTGGGGTGCTTAGTTATTTTCGTGGTCTGCTTGGATCCCGGGAGATGCGTATTTTAATATTGGGCCTGGATGGCGCCGGAAAAACCACAATATTATATAGGTTACAGGTCGGCGAGGTAGTCACAACGATACCCACAATTGGCTTCAACGTGGAGCAGGTCACATACAAAAACCTCAAGTTCCAAGTCTGGGATTTGGGCGGACAGACCAGTATTAGGTGATTATTAATAGCCAGTTAAAAAGCAATTGCATTATTTCAATGCGAAGTCTAGCTAATATCGTTGTAGGCATATTTATGGAAACATGTGTTTTCTTTTAATTGCAGACCTTATTGGCGTTGTTATTATAGCAATACAGACGCAATTATATATGTGGTCGACTCGGTGGATCGTGATCGCATAGGTATCTCGAAAGATGAACTGTTATACATGCTGCGCGAGGAGGAGCTAGCCGGCGCGATACTTGTTGTGCTTGCCAACAAACAGGATATGGAGGGCTGCATGACCGTGGCTGAAGTGCATCATGCGTTAGGTTTGGAAAATCTTAAAAATCGCACATTTCAAATATTCAAAACGTCGGCCACCAAAGGCGAGGGCCTAGATCAGGCAATGGAGTGGTTATCCAATACGCTCCAAGCTCGCAAATAGTCATGCCCCTCGCTCCCGATGTCCTAAATGAGCCTGCCCCCTTGTAAAATTGTCCAAAGTGTCACCCAGAGATAGTTGGAAGATCTATAACGCTTGCGCAAATATCCAAACACACACACACACACACACACACATACACATACATATATACACAACTTTGTAATAACTTCTAGTAATATAATTATTAAATTATAGGTTTATAATGTATGTGAAACAATCAACTACCATTCAGGCAGTCCGAAGCGATGCACACGGCCTTGCTGTGTGCTCAGTTCCATGCGCACCTTCTGGCGCATATAAAAAATGGGACAATCACGATTCGAGCAGATGACCTCCTCATGCAGTGACCCCTGACAGCGCTGGCATTCGGTCCATAGACGAGCAAAGGTCTCTTCCAGGCCCCGCTTGGATGAGAGCTCCTTTTGGTAAAGTTCGCTCATCTTGGGTTCACAGTGCGGGCACAGAGCCTTATCCTCATAGCCCTTGGGCATAAGAGACTTACAGCCGATGCACGAAGCCTTCTTAGTCATAAAGCCCGCCAATCCGCCCACCTTGGAGGTGACCACAGTACGTGTGCGAGTGTGTTCGCCCTTGAGCAATACCGATTCCGCTTTGTCGCCCAGTATGGGCTCAAAGATGCGCAACAGTGGCTTTGACAGCTGCTGTTCCAAATAATAGTTGGCATCAATGGGCACGCTATTCTCCAGCACATACAGGGGATCCTCTGCCTTTTGATATGCCGGCGTATTTTTGGCTGCTGCACAAATAACATAGGGCACACGATCGCCCAATTTAGGCGCTGTGCCTGCATCGCGCTTCTTCATCTTTGCTGCCAGCTCCACGTGTGCTTGCTTGGCTGCATAATCCGTTTTGGCCAGCTCCTTGGTTATGACCAACTGAGATATATCTATGCGGTTGCATAGCAGATCCGCTATTACTTGCTTGGCGTAGTCCACAGCACCATCAGGATCTCGTTCGATGAGCAGCTTCTGCAGGCACGAATTCATCAGGTTGGCCACCAATGGCGAGTTATCCCGACGCACTGTCTCGATGCCCTTGCAATCCATTTTATCATATTTGTCCGGCTTGGTGAAGTAGAGGCCCGCGTAGCGCTTCTTGTTGATCAGCAGATAGGGATAGTAGACCTTCTCGAACTCCAGTTTAATGGGACGCACAAATTTCGAGCTAACCAAATCGGCGGCCTCTCTGCCCAGCTCCATGCTGCGCTCCAAGGTTTTCACACCAAAGTTCACCATTACGGAATCAGTATCGCCGTAAATAACGAATGCATCGTTTTCATAGCCATTGGCGCGTGTATAATGTGATTCCACTTCATTCTTGGTCAACTCAATCATTGTGCGTCCATAGGCGGTAACGCTGCCCGAGATTTCGAGGCAAGGCAATTTACCCACCTGGGCGCCAGTAAAGCCGTAAACCGAATTGGCAGAGATTTTCAGTGCCAGCTGCCGGCCATCCAGCACCTGTCGCTTGAACGGATCCTGCTCCACTTTTAGATCGTTCTTGGCGCGCTTTCGAGCCGCCAACAAAGACTCCAGAATCTCGGGCAACAATCCACGTCTCAATTCTGCTTTTACAAAGAAGTTGTTAGCCGGAGTGCGTTCAATTTGATCATCGCTCAAGTTCATCTTATCCTTGGTGCCAGGCAGCAGCAATGTGGTGTAGCAGAGATTGTGGGCCATCATTATACTCGGATACAGTGAGGCGAAATCGAGCGTGCTAATGGGGTCTGCGTAATAGCCCCTCTTCGGTTCTATTACCGTTGCACCCTCATACTGCTCATCGGAGCCGCTCGACGTATACGATGGCATTATGAATCCTCGTGTCTTGGCCTTACGCAACAGCTGGCTAAGCACCTTGATTTGCTGGCCACGTGTGAGCAGGGACTCAAGTGGAACACCCGTCACACGCGCCATTTCCATATAATTGACAATGGCCATCAGCTTGCCGAGCAGACGCAGCGGCAAATAGGCATCCTTCAAACAATACATGGCTAAACGGCGACGCGTCTGCTCGTCCCCATTCTGCAGATCTGTAATAATACTGTGATGCACATCCTCCTTTTGCTCCTGCAAGAAATGATAGCTGACAGCATTCAGCGTGTACGAGCGCAATTTGTAATCCCGCAACAGCACGAAAAACAAATCGAAGGGCACCCGGCCCTCGAAGTTAACATATTGATTCTCTCGTCGGCCCATTTGCTTGGACTGCAACACCTGTTCCTTGATGACTGAACGGATGTTCTTAATGCGTCCCAAATACTCAAAGTTCTTCACCTTTAAATGGGCAGCACGATTCAGCAGATAGGGCACGTCGAAATTGTTAATGTTATAGCCGGTTAGAATGTCGGGATCCACTTCTCTCACAAAGGCCGCCCACTTGTCCAGCAGCTGCGTCTCCTGTGCGAAGCACAGCACCTGGCTGCCTATGATGGGTGCACATTCCTTTAAAGTGAACACATTTCTAATGAAGGGCTCCGTTTCGCCCTGTCTGATGACCATGTTGGCTATCTGAATGACCGGATCGACTTTCGCTTCCGGAAAGATGCCTTTGCGACCGGCGCATTCAATATCGAAGCTGAGTATACGCAAGGGCGCCACCTTTGACCATTCGCCTTCCGGTTCATGCGATATAAACCGATCGTAGGCGACGTCGACTTCGAGCTGGCAACGAGATTCGGGCTCTGGCTTGGAGTTTCGTCCACGTAGACGCCAAACCCCTGGAGGTAGCTCAATCCAATTACAGCCTACGACCTGTGTATCCACCATAAAGCGGATATCGAAGTCGATGTTGTTCTCAAAGGCACGACAGTCCTGAAAATCGAAGGAGCTCATGATGACTGCCGTCTTCAGCAGTCTCGAGGCAGCAGCTACAAAACGGGGCAGCGTAACAGTAATCTTGATATACGTCTGTTTGGTATCGCCCTGATAGCCATGGATGTTGAGTCGCTGCACTAGCTCCACGGCCAGCACGGCCTCTTGTACATGATCCTTGTTGCTGCGCATGTCAGCGATTACCTTCTTACCGAGCGCCTCGTGCAGCTCCGAGCAATGCCGCTCTTCGAAGTTGCTTGGTGCGACTATATAGAAATATGGACAGTAACCATGGACGTGGCAGCATACGGAGTTGCCCTCCATGGTGACCCCAAACATGCGGACCACAGGTACCGGGCCTAGCTGGGCGCCGGGCATGCCTGGCAGCGGTTGCCCAACATAGTTCTCTATATCCAGCTGTTGAAAGATTAAGCTGTCTTCGGCAGGGTTTAGTTCAGGAGGCACCGCACGAGACCAGCGTTCGCTAGTTTGTTGGTTCTCAGGTCCTTCGCCAAGCAACTGTGTTTGATCTAGATCGTCTAGTCCCTCAAATGCAGCCAGTTCCGATTCAAATCCACCGCCCATGTCGTCGTCGTCATCGTAATTTCTACATGTTGCACCATTGTTATTTTTAAATGTTTAAATCTTTATATTAATAGTTTACCTGGGCTTTTTAGAATGACCATTGGTGTTGCCATTGCCATTAAATTTCCGCTTGGTATCCATGTTGTATAATATATAAACAATAGCTTAGAAAATTCGCAATTCGTTGCAATGGATAAACGCGGAAACTGCGCGGGATAATCAGAAGCAATATCAACTGTTTAATTTAAAACAAATTGGCAGCTCTGGCGCTAGTTGAATTTACAAGATTGCAATTTGTTATATTTAAATGTATATGTAAATTAGTTCGTATTAAATATGGTTAAATTAACAATTAGAATGTAACACAATATTGTAAGTTTATCAATATTAAACTCAATAAATATATTGGTATTTTGTTGTGCGAGCTGTGGTATTTATAAAACTGGTACATGTCTTGTGCTTGCAGTATTTTAGTCATACGTATCTAACGGTCACACTGACCAGCAGCAGATATTTTCGTATGTAAAACGCATTAAAAACTTATAATTGTGTAAATATTTGAGAGCTCAAATGTGCGTCTATGTTTGTTTCTTAGTTGCATAAATTAACAGCTGCTGGCAATAATACGCAGCAAAATGCTCGACCTGTGAATATCAACCAATTACCTTCATTCACCTGGCGGGGGTGTGTATGTGTGTGTGTTTGTGGGGGATGTTAAGTGAATCACAATCACAATCACACAATTAAAAAAACGCTGCAAAAATGTACCAAAGCGCCTGCAATGCGGCCACGACTGGCTCGTGTGTGCCCGGTGCTGGCAATCAAATGGACACTGATCGTCAGGCGGCACTGATAGCTCAACAACCACCCACAGCGCCCGTGGAGCCTGACTACAGTGGCTTCGATATCGTTAAGGCCACACAGTACGGTGCGATAGCACGTGTCCGGGATCTGGTCGAGTCTGGCTGGGATGTCAATCAGCCCGACAGTGAAACAGTCACATTACTCCACTGGGCAGCCATTAACAATCGCAGAGATATTATTCGATATTTTCTGGAAAAGGGCGCCACAGTCGACGCCGTTGGCGGCGAACTGAATGCTACGCCGCTGCATTGGGCCACACGGCAGGGCCACCTGGGCGCTGTAGTTCTGCTGATGGCAGCAGGCGCTGATCCGCGCATACGCGATGCAGAGGGCTGCTCCTGCATACACATTGCCGCACAGTTTGCACACACCGCCTTGGTGGCCTACTTCATAGCTAAAGGCGTGGATCCCGACCTGCAGGATCGTGGCGGCATGACGGCGCTCATGTGGGCTGCCTGGAAGGTGAGTAAAGATATCGATTAAATCGATTCAAAATTAAAATGTGATTATGCCACAATTATCGATAAAACATTAAAGGAATTAGGACATTTTGGTTTTTTTTTTCAATGAGTTAAATAATTAAAATTCATAATAAACATTATAAAATAAATTCATTTTAAATAGTTGAAAATATTAAACAAGTTAATATATTTATTTTTATGTAACATAGTATATAGCAATTTAATTTGTTCTTTATTGCTTTGCTTGAAGTGAACGAAATATTTAAGTATTTATAATTTATGAATGAATGAATTATGTTATTTTACATACATATACGTATTTGTATATGTGATAATTTTTAGAATGTCGTAGACTTACACTGTTGAGCAAAACAGCTGTTGAGAACAGATGCTATGAAAATATTTATAAATAATTGGGTATCTTTGACAGGTATGTGCTCTGGACCCTGTGCGGCTGCTGCTCACGCTGGGCGCCAATCCCGCCATGGTTGATTACACACATGGTAATACGGCATTGCATTGGGCAATACTAGCGCGTAATTCCACCGCCATATCCACGTTGGTGCTTAAGTCGAAAGCTTCGCTGGATGTGCCTAACTTGCGTGCCGAGACGCCGCTCTCGATGCTGGAATCACAAACCGGTGCCATTTGGATTGGCGCCAAAGTAATGGACCGAGTCAGAGAGGCCGCCTTGACTTCCCAACAGCGCCGATCACTCGTCTCAAAGCTACGCCATGACAAACGCTTGCGCTGGTGGTCGATGGTCGCCTGCCCCTTTACTGCCTTCTATCTGGCTGGTATTGTCTTTACCATTAATACGCTGTATATTATCAAATTTTTCCTGCTGGGTTGCCTGTATGCCATATTCCATACCATTGGCAAAACGCTGTTCGATGAGCATCTGATGGCGCTGCTGCCGCTCTCCGTTTATCTTGCGACCAAGGCCTGGTTCTATGTTACTTGGCTGATGTATATCGATGATGCTGTGTCGCTAGCAACCACTGTGTGCTTCCTTATCAGCTCGCTGGCGCTCTGGGTGTGCTTTCTGAAGTCCTGGAAGGGTGATCCAGGCATTATACGACCCACTCGAGAGCAGCGATTTAAGGTATACCAAATCACTTATATCTGTAGACATTATGTAAAAACGTTTTCTAATACAGACGATAATTGAGCTCTCGGAACGCGGTGGCATTGGCTTTGAGCCCGCCTCCTTCTGCTCGGGCTGCCTAGTGCGTCGACCTATACGCTCGAAGCACTGCTCCGTGTGCGACCGTTGTGTGGCCCGCTTCGATCATCATTGTCCCTGGGTGGGCAATTGCATTGGTCTCAAAAATCACAGCTACTTCATGGGCTTTCTCTGGATGCTCTTGATAATGTGTGCCTGGATGCTATACGGCGGCTCTAAGTTCTATGTGAACGAGTGTAATGTGCACTTTGACGGTAGATATACTTTTAGCGATTAGGTATTGAAATTTTTGAAATTGCTAACAAATTCCCTATTTTTAGATTTCCTTACCGCTATGCGTGCAATTGGCAATTGCAACGCCTGGGTAGGCTGGGTAATGGGCAATGCTTTGTTGCACATGTCCTGGGTCATATTGCTGACTGTTTGCCAAACGTATCAAGTGATTTGCCTAGGCATGACAACCAATGAGCGTATGAACCGTGGTCGCTATCGCCATTTCCAGGCAAAGGGTGGACAGAGCCCGTTTACACGTGGACCGCTACTCAATTTAATTGACTTTCTGGAATGCAATTGCTTCGGCTTGATGCAGCCGCGACGCGTGGATTGGATGAACTACTACGACTACGATGCACAGGTGCATCAAACAATTGAGAAGGAGCCGCTGCTGAGAGCTGATGGTGCCGATGCCGATGGACTGATCGGGGATCATCAGTACGTGTAGGACAAATCCTATCGGGATGCGAAGACGCTTCAAATGCCCATTGCGCATGTCTAACAACGATTCGTGTGCTAATAACAAGAAGACAATGCTTTAGATATATATATGCCCACCCGATTAGCTTCGTATTATTATGTTTTTTAGTGATTTGTAATTGGAACGCGCTGCTGCAAAACAACGATTTAATAACAACAACAATATATAAAGACAAAAGACAGAAGCGTCGTCGCTGACCGATATCGGATCAAGTAAATGGGGCATAATTGATGATGCCCCAAACACACAAACTACGTACATTTATTGTGCATGTATTTTACCTGTAATTACAAAACTTTGTACATTTTTCAGCACATTTCTTAATTTACCTCAAAAAAAAAAAACAAAACACACAAACTCTTTTTCGACTTCACTCTAAAGTATTTGTTATACCAAAAACAAAAACCGAACAAAATATGTAACTAATGCAAGAAAATCAAAACAAAAAAAGATGGAATTATTTAACAATGAGTGCAATACTTGCAACTTTCAATTAACACACAATTCAAACAAATTTCTAAAAAAAAGCGCACAGTTGAAAACGAAAAGCAAAATACAAAACTTTACAAAATATGTATTACAAATTATAAATGATGTGTATTCTAAAAGCAAGATTAAAGTAAACAAAATTCTAGCAGTTGCCTTTGGGTTAGCTTGGTTCGCCACTGTTTAAGCTACTAAAAAACCAAAAAGAACAAACACCAAACAAATACTTTAAATATATATAGATACATATATATATATACTTATATGGCGAATGAAAAAACAAAGCGATTTGCATACTTAATGGAAAATCCAAATTCTAAACGCGATTCAATTCAATATGCACTAGTCTAGTCAGCAATCATTTAAGTAAAATGTTATAGTGCAACAACCGACATATAAACAATATTGCATATTACAATATACTAAATATACATATTTATATATATATATATAAAAAAAGATATATACATATTATATACATATAGTTATGAAATTATGTACACCTACGATCAAGTATCAAATGAAGGAATTTCTTAAAGTCCAACAACCTGAAAACAAACTTCAGAAACAAACCACGACACGTAGCTAAAAAAATTATATATATATATATATATATATATATATATATATATATATATATATATATATATATATATATATATATATATATATATATATATATATATATATAAAGATTGTAACACGTTACTTAAATGCATTTAAATTTAATTAACAAATTGCATATAGATATATATACATATATATATATATATATATATATGTATGTATGTGTGTATGAGCATCACCTAATGAACAATTTCAACTAAATAATAAATATTTATGTATGTAATAATTAAAAAAAAACACAATTTTCGATGTATTTTGTATTTAAGATTATACAGAAGATAGAACAGAAACTTTCACTCTGCGGTTTGCTACAAAAAGTTATTTGTTAAACGATTTTTTTATAATTCTTTTGCTTGCATTGTTAGACGAAAGAAACGTGTAAAAAAAACGCTTTTAAAAAAGACTACAAAGCATTATGTAATAAATGACTTCAAACAAGGCGATCAACTCTAAAACAAACTTAATCGAAAACCAAATAATAATAAAACCAACATCAATTTGCCTATGTCTTTAGTTTAGCCACTAAGTTCAAGACAAAATATGTGTATTAAATAGTATGTAGAATGAAATGAAATGAAATGAAATACAATGCGAGGTGTAATGTAACAATGTGCGTTAAAATTTAAATAATAAATAGAACTTTATTCCAAATTCCAAAATGAACAAAAGAAACGAATTGTCCTTTGTTTGATTTTACTTTAAGAATGCAAATTTTTGTCTTGGAAGGGGACTTAACTTGACTTAAATCGAAATTAAATTCAGCAATAAAACTTTTTAAGTTGAATTCTAAAGAAAGCGAACACAAGAAGCGTAAAATTCCAAAGTTCCTTTACCAATCTTCTTTAACGTTCTCAGAACTTAATTGATTTTCGTAAACGACATTAAATTCTTTAAGTTGTGAATTCATACTCTAGCTTTAACCTTTTTCACCAGAGATATCTTCTCACAATCTTGAAATTCAATCGTTGTCAATATTCTGAAGTCCAAATTTAAATTTCAACCATTTTATGACTTGTAAAGCTTCCCGAGGTGCCATAACTTTGTCAAATCGATTTCATCATCATGTGCTCTGAGCATTATAGTCCAGCTGTATTTTTTGTTCCGCTCAGGCATGCAGAAAGTCTTTAAAAAAATCTATAAAAAACAGTTCAATAAATATACAATTTTGTTGTTTTTTTTGGGTTTTAATGTTTTTGTTTTTGTTGTTTTTTTGTTGTTTTATTTTTTGATGACATAATATTTTGTAGATTTAAATTGGTTTTGATGTTGCAGTTTTTTTCCATTCATTTTTTTCTCGACAATTATGCGTTACATTTATTTATAGGCTCGTTTTAAAAATAGAGTTTTATTTGTTTACTTCATGATAAATTAAGTTTTTTATATATATATTTTTAATAATTATTATTCACTTTTGTTGTTGTTTTTGTTAAGTGTAAACCAGCTTTAAATATATATATATATGTATATATATTTATGCATTACTTTTATTTATATCGCATTTTATACTTAAATTTCGCTTGTGATTAGTTTGCTAATGTTAATTACAATTTGTTGTTGTTTTTTTTTTAGCAGCAGGTGTAAATGATATACAATATTATGAAATATTTGATTTGCGTGTTGCTTTTTGCTTTTTTAAGTGGTCAATTTACTTGCTTCCATGCAAATTATATGATGAGAATTAATGCGCGTTTACAACGTGCTGAATATTTGTTTTTTTTGTCTGTTAAAATTATATAAAAGCTTACGCACTAGAAATGTGTTTGCAAAAACTAGTTGAGAATTAGAGTGTATGCATGTGTGTGTGTATGTGGAGACTGAAGTCGTACGATCGGAAAGCCGCGTCGGCACTGGTCGGTGTTCGATATATATGTTTTTGTGTGGGTCTTTTTTCATCTGTTAACGGTTTATAGTCGCATCTATATATAATTATAATTATATATATTTGATATTTAGGTGGGTTGCGGCGTAGCCAGCTTGAGCTTGAATATAAGTGTTATACGTAGATATACATGTATATAATATGCCGTTAGCTCTCATTTGGTCGGAAATGTTATCATCAATTACCTACACAGTGAACACGAAAAGTTAACGCACGGCACGTTAGAAAGTTCAAGTTAGAAATAAGGTTTAGTTCGCAGTAGTAGAACGAAATATTGCAATGCGTTTCATAAGCGCACTTGATAAAGGAAAAGCAAATAATATATAGGTATATATATATATATATATATATATATATATATATATATATATATATATATATATATATATATAAATGTTTAAGTGTATAGAAAGCCTTAAAACGAAATCTGTGAAAAGCTGCATTCATACGCCAACCAATATCAAATAGCTCAATTTGTTTTGGCTTTTGTTTTGTGTGATTCGAGGAACTTGGCTCACAAATATTTTGTTAGATACCCTAAACACGGTCTGTAGTGGAGTCTTTGAAGCTGATGGATATGTTTTGTGCTTGAATTTTGTTTTGTTTTTGATAATGTGAGAAACCTTTCATTGTGCTTTGAAGTGTATTGCGAATGCAAGCATATCATGATATTGTGCAACGTATAAACGCAGATTTTCGCAGCTAACTGCGTGCATGCCGCAGACTTTGGATGCCGCAACAAGTGGCAAACGCTTCAACTTTAATTTTCTTTGATTTAGTATACAAATTTTCATTAACTGCAGCCTGTGCGCTGGTTTGCCCTTGTTGTGCATGTTTTACAAAATAAAATTACGTTTATGCCAAGCTTTCTGTATGCGTGATCACGAAATCGAAACACTCGCACAAACGTGTTCATAAATTTACGAAATATTTTATACATGCCTTAAGCTTAAGCAAAGTGTGTATACAGATGCTTAGTCTATGCTTTTATATATATATATATATATATATATATATAAGTTGTGTATACATAAATTTTTTTTGTAATACACGTAAATTATTTTTGCATTTGCTTTAAGTAGTTTTTTTTTTTGCTTTTTTTAATTTTCTCTTTAATAAAAAATATATATAAATATATGCTATTTTGAATTTGATTTTATCTCTCTGCCCATATGTATAGTTATTCTTTTTTTCTCTTTTGTTTTGCATTAGATCTGTTTAGCTTGCTTAGTTTTGTCCCTTTTTGTTTTGTTTGTTAAATACGCGCACTTAAAATATGAATGTATATATATATATATATATATATATATATATATATATGGTGTATATAAAAGTTCAATGATTATTAGTTATACATAGATATTTATGTATATATATAAAGATTAGAAGTGGGGGAAATACCCAGTAGATTGGGTAAGCGTGGCCTAACTTTGCTTTTTGTTTTGCTTATAAAATTTTACACACGCACACACATATGTAAAAAACAAATAACAAAGCAAAGAACCAAAACAAAATATAATTAAAAAATTAAAATAAATAACAAATGTGCATTGTAAATAGTTTTAAAAAATAAAAACTTGAGCTTAGCCTAGAAAAGGGTTAGCAATGCCATAAAAAGGATTTTTTGTATATGTATATATATTTAGAAATGTAGAAATCTTTCTATTGTGTCTGTGTGCGTGTGTGTGTGTGTGTGTGTCGGCACGTGGTTATGTATTGTTTTTCTTGATTTTTTTTTTGCAGGCTTTTTGCTTGTTAGCTTTTGCTTGGTCTCATAATATGTATAAACTTTATCATATATTTATAAACATTAATTCCCACTGATGTTACGTCTTCTGCAGCAGCTCGCTCTGTGGGCTGGGCGGACTCGATAGCTGCTGCAGCTGCTGTTGTTGCTGCTGCTGTTGCTGCGTTTGCTGTTGCTGCTGTTGTGCGGCACTCAGCATGGTCGGTGCAGACAGTGTGCTCGCCTGTGTAATAACTGTTGTGGCAGAGATGGTCTGTTGCTGCTGCTGCTGTGGCACCTGCTGCAGCTCATGCTGCTGGCTTGTTTGATTGTTCAGCGGCTGGTTTGAATTGCAGAGCACCGAATAGACGGAATCAACTTTGCTTAGCTTCTCAAAGAGCGGTATCAGCTCGCGCAGTTCAGAGTCGGTGACATCGTCGAACCAGGACTTGACGGGCACCTAAAATAGAATCATTTAGTAAAGCTACTCAATTTGCTATACACTATGCAGACTTACCGCATTATCGGGATGAAAGATATAGCTGGCCGGCGAGTTATCAACAATGACAATCTTCTGTAAATCCCTACCCAAACGATTCAGATCCTTAATGTAATTACCCCTGTAATAAACGCATGATTCCCTAAACAGTCTTGCACGAAACACATTCCATCTGCAAGAGCAAATAAATTCGATTAGTTCCAAAGTCTGTTTACTTGTTAATATATCTTAATATATATATAAATAAATATTATTTTATGTACTATTTATTATGTTCATAAACTTGTCTTTAAATAGGGAATTCGTTTCTTTTCTATTCTTGACGCTTGCATTTCTATGTTTTCTTATCAACTTCAACCACAGTTTCGTTCGGTATTATCTTGATTTTTAGTAGATCGTTATCCGAGCCGCCAAAGTCACTTTAATTGCGGTCTTTGCAAAGCTCTACAATTTCATATCTTTCTGACTGTTTCTATCACGCAGGGTATATAGGTTTTATCTGTAGAAACTTGCCATTTGGGGCGATTACAAATCAGAAATTCTAGTGGTCTTAGAACTTGTCATATATACTTGACTAGTTATACGATATCAAGGTCATAAAGCCATGCCTCTGGCTGTATAACAGATTGAGGGGATTCATAGTCCTACGGGACGACTCTAATGTTAGCTATATTTAATATATA